CCCCTAATAGTGGGGGCCGCCTCCTGAGAAGCCGCCTGCAATGGTGTAGACGACTGCATCATCTGTATCGGAACTGTCGGCCTGTTGATTCTTTTTGGCCGACTGCTTTTTTGAGGAAGTATTCCCCGTAGATTTCTTGACATAAGTGTCAAGATCACCTTGATCAGCCAAGCGGTCTAGGTACCGCATGAGACTAATGCAGTCGTTGGTGTGATGACCAATGTCATCATGATAAGCACAGATTTTGTCTTGGTTCCGGTTGCTCGCAGAACCCTTCATGGGGAGCGGTTTCTCAACTGAGAGCCGTCCCTTTATTTCTTTTAGGATAAACTGGTTATCCTTGTTAAACACATACTTTGGGGAGTATGGTTTGAATTCCTTTTTCTTCTTGGCCGGCTGTTTAGAGGAATCAGCCGCCCAGACCCCTTTTCTTTTTTCATCTTTGTTGGACGACTGTTTCTGTCGTCCTTCTCTATTGTCGAACCTCTTCCCGTCCGACTGTTTCATTGTACACAGATCAGTCGCCTGTATATAGGCTTCTGCTTCAATCAAGGCCTCTTGAAGAGTCGCCACCCTTTTTCGAACTAAATCAAATTTGAAGGTAGACCCGTCTTTGAGACCTCTAAAAAAGTCAGTATAAGCTACCTCATCCGGTAACCCTTGAATCTGTATTCTCATCAGGTTGAACCGCCTGATGTAGGAACGAAGCCCCTCCTTTTCACCCTGCTGAATTGTTCCCAAATCAAGGGTCGTTTTCTTCGCAGGGATGTTCATTGCAAAGTTGGAGGCAAATAAGTAAGCAAGCGTCCTGAAACTGTTTACACAACCAGTCGGCAGGTTGCCGAACCATTGCTGTGCAATTCCCTTGAGAGTTGCTGGGAAACACTTGCACCAAGTGGGATCATCCAACCCTTGAAGGTACATCAGGTTGGTGAATGCCATCAGATGGTCTTCCGGGTTAGTAGTGCCATCATAGGCGCCTACTAAAACATTTTTTACTTTGGCCGGCTGAGCGGCTTCAGTAATTTCCTTGGAGAAGGCCGACGGCTGTTCACCAAGTCTAAGCAGCCGTAGCTGCCAGTCCATAGGTTGGACGTTTTTTGCTGCAGGTCCACCAAATGGAGGTGGCTGCATAAAATATTGTTGTTGCGGCACAAATGGCAAATTTGGTACCGCCTGCGCACTATGAAAGCCAGACTGACGGGAGGTGCCGCCTGACTGACTCTCATGGTACGACTGAGTTGGCCTCATCGAGGCATTTCGCAAACTGTCCTGAAAATTTGAAGTAGAAGCCGACTCTGATAATCGGTCACTCTTCTTCTGCTCTAGCAGGTGCCGAGCATCTGTGAACGTTTGCTTTGACCCGTCCGCCTGAATATGACGAACCGGTTTCCTATTTCCCGTAGGATAACGGAGTTTTGTGAAATCAAGAGCAGACGGCTCCCGCTTCTTAGATTTAGGATGGGGAGTCGCCTCTCGCCCTTGAACTGGCTTCCTCTTGAGTGAAGTGGAAGGTTTTTTGGCCGCCTGCTCTTTGACTGAAGCAGGCGGTTTTTTGTTGATCAACTCTTGGATCTCTCCCTTGAATCCCCTCATGAAGGTCATGAGTTCGTTCCTTGTGATGGGAGCAGACCCATCAGTCGGCTGTTGCCGAGCAAGCGGTGCGCCTGCTGGCTCGCTTCCTGTTTGAAGATACTCCCGTTCCCTTATTTCAGTATGACGGGTACGGCGGGCCCTTAGGGTCCCGTCTGGAGCTGTATGAGTTTCAACTTCAAATTCACTTTCGGTATCATGGTCCGACTGAACTTGAGGGTCGTCTAGGGGACGCCTCTCTTCTGGGGTCGGTACAGACTTGGATGCCATCTCTGAAGTACTCTCCCCACAGACGGCGCCAAATGTTTTGGGGTTTTCTGATGTCCTGCGGGAGAGCTACAATTCCGAGACTGGAATCGGACGCCTGTACCTGCAAAATAACGGAGACTCCTGAGAGCTCCGCCTCCAACGGTCAAGTTAGTACCTGATTAAGGAGTAATTAATACAGAAATTAAAGTAATAAGGTCTCTCTAGGTGAGAGTGTTTAATGTAGGTAATCTGCTTTGCTAGCGAGATCAGCCGGTTATTAGTGTGTTCCGTAATGTTTCTCCTCTGTTCCGTTAATTATTCGGTCCCTTGATTAATGAGGATTAATCGAGTATTTATAGCCTTGGGAAGCGTGCAACTCTCTAGGTTTAAGGTAAACCTAGGGCCGATCGGGCTTCTAGACTGAAATGGGCCTTGATGGCCGGTTGTCCCATTTGGCATGGGTGGACACGTGGCGTGTCTTAAGTGGTCCGTGGAGGACGCGTGGCGGAACCTGGTTGGTCCACTTGTCAAACGGCGCTTGGTGGATAAAAATCCCCTAATCAAGTTTCGTCTTTAAAGTTATAACTATTAAGTTGAAAATAATATGACTTGATCACTAGTCTTTGATGACTTTTTTAAATTTGAAATGAATGTTTCTAACTTTATCTTCCTATCAACAATATTTAAACTACGTAGTATATATATCATTCTGCCTAATTGTTATTATTGACTACGGGTAATAATATTTTTAACAATATGTACCTAAGGAAATTTAAAATAAAAAAAAAAATAGAAGAAGAAAGTCTTAATATCCAATTATTTTTAAAAAAAACTACTTGCAATTATATGTTGTTTCTACTAGTAGATATTATTTCTAGTCATTGCACCAATTATATCAGACAAGACCTTAATCTATAATACTTATTATTATAATTAGGGTATTAAAAGATCTAGAAGTGGAGAATTATTGTGCATTATCGAGCATGATCTAAGCTATTCCATTATGTGTTTGTCTAAAAATACCAAAAGTATAATTCATTGATTTTTAATTGAATTTATGACGTGGTAATGAGTCAGCTACACACTTGAGCCACATATATAAAATATCTGCCATGTTTCAGCTAATCACCAACATAGCATGCTTTGTCATCAACAAAATGAACACCACAAACTGAGGAAATCAAAATTATTTGTATTTAATTATTTGATTATTGACTACTTGACTACCAATTTAGCCGACTTGTAAATTAAAACAAGATAGAGAGTTTGTTCCTAGTTTCTTAGAACGGGAAGGTTAAGAAAGATTCATGTATTATTTTGTGTGTATATATATATATATATATATATATATATATATATATATATATATATATATATATATATATATATATATATATATATATATATATATATATATATATATATATATATACAAATAATTAATGGTAAAAAAATTTTGTACATGCAAAAAAAAAAAAAAATGTTTAACGGTTAATGTTTGGGATAAAAAGTACAAGATTTTTTTAACGAGAAAAATATAACATTGGTCATTAATATTTTTTTTTTTAATAAAATTAAAACTTTAAAAGTCTTATGAGTACATAAAACATTAACCATTGGTATCATTTTAATAAAACTTTAGAAATTATACTACATTTATTTTTATTCAATAACAATATTTTACGATAACATACTAATACATGCCATTGATTTTAGTTTATACCTATAATAAAAGTTAAATTGTTGCAATTTATATGTAAAAAATAAATAAATATTGAGCTAGTACTTTAATTTCTAAATATTTCAATACATAAAGTCGACCTACTTTCACCAAAGTTTGTAGTCCTCAAGAGTACTAAAAAATCGTCTTCCTCAATACCCAATTCTTACAATTCATGATGCTTGAGCAAGTTCAAATAAGTGTCACTTTCATTATAAATTAATCGAAAACAAAATATTTGTGTCACAATCTAACAATAAGAGTAGGTCCAATTATAGCAAAAAGAAACAACAAACTTTATTATTATCACAAAGAAAACTTAGGGTTATGTATAACCAAGATCCCCAACCAACCAAACGTAACATACTTGTTAGAGTAATAAGCTTGTTGAAATGGATAAGTGGATATACAAGAATTCTAGTCAGAAGACTAATTGAGAGCCTTACCAAACATACAAGAGGCAAGCAACGTCTTCTCGTATCGAATCACAATCATACGATCTTTGAATTATTATGTATAGATTTTTATCCGTATACGTATACAAATTACAATTACGAGTAAGATGTGTGTAAATGAATTATTTTTTATATACAGCTAGTACAAACCTTATATTTTTTTGGTCTTGATTGATTATTGATTGAGTGAATTCAATAATAATAACAAGCTCTAACAATCGTTTAGAAATTGAATTCTTGAACAATAACAATCAATTGTTTGAGATAATAATTCTGAACAAGTGAACAACTTGTATATGCATAGTTACATTACTTACATAGTAACATTTTAAATAATATCATTCTGATTTCAACCTATCTTATCTCAATATCATTCAAGATTTTCTATCAAAAAACAATATAACATTCATGAGTAAATAAATCTTTTTTTATAATATTTTTATGTCTAAGTTTTCTCCTAAACAAATTATTGGATTTTACATTCAAATTACAGTGACCAAAGTCAAGGAACTCACTTCACTGAAGAACTCGTCAAAGAATGAATATACAAATGATTGCTCACGTTGTTTTTAGGGAGCTAGGCTGAAAGAAAAGAGGCTCATAATACTCAGATCAATACAAAGGCAAAGAGTCTGCACTTGAAGCCGGCTCGAAATATTTGATCTTAGGTGCATTCTCTACCCGCCTTACCTTCCCCCTCCAAAAAAGAAAAGAAAGACTTCAATGTAGTAGTGTATGCGTATTGATGCCAATTACGAGTATCATATTTGCACATCAATAATTGGTGCGTAAACAAAGTTGGATTGTTTTTGTCAATTGCTACACAGCCAACCAAATTTTATTTGGCAGTGTGGTATCCAAATGGTAATGTAGCCAAAATTCGGCCGACCTCGGACATTAAGCTCATTTAAAAATCTACAAAGATCTGATATAAGTGTATCTTATAAGTGTAGATCTAATTATAAGACCAACCCAATAATACATGCTACATATTTACTGCTTTCATTATCAAGCTACCTTGACATTCTAACGAAAATATATTTGCATCTCAAAATCAATAAACAAGAACGAACTGTCCATGTGAATATATGATATGATTGCAGGTTCACTCAGACTCCAATTCTTTGGTAGCTTGAGCACTTAGATAAGCACCATAGAATCCAGTCATCAAACTGTCCCCTTGCACTCAAATTGATCGCAAGGATCGATGATCTGATATCAGACCCAAACACGTTGATGGCAGCAGTAAATTATTAAGCTAATAAATCCACAGCTATTACATTGATCATCTTAAGTTAACAAAATATTCACAATAGCATTCCATGACTGATGTTTTTAATTCCATATATCCACAAGTCATCTCAGAGCTAATATTACCCGCACAGCAATGACTTCAAGAGTAGCTCTGCTCTCATCAGTCACCTCCCACCTGCCTCTTCCAAGAATCTTCGACAATTAATTCATCCACTCCCCAGTCTTCATAACTGTAGAATATTTACAAAGCGATCAAATTAACCATTCAATGTTTCTCAATTAAAAACAGGTGGGATAGCAAACAGAGATGACACATTGTATTCAATCAAAGATGTACCTTCCATCAGGCAAGTAACGACGAATAGTAAATGGTATCTTGCGTTGTCGTAGTTCCTTCATAGCAATCTGATTTCCCACAAGGAAAAAAGATATTAAACATCATCAATGCACAAAGAAATTTGATTGCATCTCAGTCCCCACAAAACAAAATTTAATGAAATGAAAAACTACATTTTGGGAAGAGATTATTCACGGTTTTGCATGATTTGAATTCTTATGAGAATATATTCCCTCTATACATAGCTTTAGCTAAGAATTCTGTTGGAAGAAGGAAAAAGAAACAACTGACTAACTGAATCCATACAGTGATACAACCAGAATAATCCCCTGGTCCTCCCATATCTCAGAGACAAGGACTTCGTATACAGAAAAGAAAGCAAGTTTAAACCACACTGAGAAGGCTGAAGGCTTATGCAAAGAATTTCCCACCCCACTAAATTCCTTGTTACAAGTCATTGCACCAAGAAGCAAAAACGCAATGCCAGGACCCCAACATGCAGAAATGGCTAACCATCACATCTCTGAATAATTTGTTGTAAATTGCCTTAAAAGTCGAGAGCTGAAAGCCTGAAAGAGCATTCCACCCCCACAGACTTTCATAATGTTTAGCCCTCAACCTTGGCATATGTTAGGGAAGTGACAAGAAACAATAAAGGGCTAAAAAAAAAATCACCTCGAGTGGGTCAGTTTCACCTTCCAATTCAACCATGACCGGGGCATTCATACTGCATAGCCATAAATATTCAATTGATCAGTAAATGCAGTGTCTCTATACCACATTTATTATTAATGAATTGACAGTCTAGTTCTACAAACCTGATCTGAAGTGCACGTGTCCCTAGAATTCTAGCTCGCTCATATTTTGTCATGTATTTAGATGTCTTCCTCTGCTGCTTCTCTTTTGCCTCCCCTTCTCTGTCTTCACCTTCTATAAGAGGATCATTCAAGTCATCATCTGGCTGTAAAGTCTCTTCTTCCTCCCCTTCCTAAATACAGTGGCAAATGAAGATGACTGGGCTATAAGCTATAATCATGAAACAAGAATTAGATCATATAGTTAAAGATCTTTTACCTCAATTTCAGGCTCTGGGGGCTCTTCCTCGTACCTGTAAAATCAAACCCACCATTTTTGTATCAGTGAACATGAAATTTTCAACTTTTGTTCAATATAGTCTTGAGCACAAACAAGAAATACATATCAATAGCCCCCAATTAATCCAAAACATCAAACTTCATTCATACAATAAGTGTATTTACTAATTAGCATTGCAATTGAACCTGATACATTACTATCCACTTGTTTCCCCTTTTTTAATTCTTATGCGGAGAATGGTGAGTGGTATGTGCAAATAAATACAACTCAAACAAAAGAAAACAACCACTTCTCAGATCTTCATGAGACCTCAAGGGCTGGGATACGATAATGTCAAATTAAAATCAACTCAAAAAAGAAAGAGGATACACAAGATCCTCTAATTTCATGTTAATGTGTTGGAGGAGATTTGTTTGTTATTTAGATAGAAAAACCAGGCAGACATTCACTTGATCAGATTATTGCAGCAATTTTGTGACTTGTTAAAATGAATTTCTTTGTACATTTCAAAGCTCAGACAAAATGAACAAGTATTTTCCCGGACCTACAAAAGATCTCAAAGAGCTGGGATTAGACATTTGTCATCATCGCAACACAAAATCAAATAAATAAAGGTTACTGACAGATATTAGTTTGTAGTTCCTGAGTAATGCTTGTTTGAAGATGTAAGCAAAAGATCGTTAATTTAATTGTAAAACCATGAAAGAATTCACATATTACCCTTTTCTACCAATTTTTCTTCTCTTACAAATATATACATTCTAAAGCTCAGACAAAATAAACATATCTATTTCCCGGACCTACAAAAGATCTCAAAGAGCTGGGATTAGAAATTTGTCATCATCGCATAATGATATCTAAAAAAACAACTAAAAATGAAGAGAGTTAGAGGACCGCCCTTTGCTAAATTTGTCTTCTAAAAAAGTGAGTAAAAGGTGTTTATTTAAACACAACTACTGAACATACATTACAAAAATAGTTTCTCTAATTGTTTCCCTCCAATTTTCATCTTTTGAGAAAAGGTATGTATCATTTTCGCAATTGGATACTTATTTAAAGCTCAGACAGAATGAACAAGGTATTTTCCCGGGTCTACAAAAGACCTCAAAGAGCTGGGGTTAGACATTTGTCATCATCGCATTGCAAAAAATAATCAGGAAACTAAGGCAACGAAAAGTCGAAAACAGATTAAAAGGATCTCCAATTTTGTAATGTTTGATCAATAAAAGGGGGGAGAGCAAGGAAAAAAAAAAAACTGACAAACACACATTTCAACAAGTGGGTTTCCCAATTCTTTTACTCTATTGCAAGGGAAATTGTGTGATTTGTAAAATGGATACATTCTATAGCTCAGACAAAATGAACATATGTATTTTCCCGGACCTACAAAAGGTCTCAAAGAGCTGGGATTAGACATTTATCATCATTGCTACTAAAATTGTCCACAACAGCTCAAGACTTAACAGCTCAAGACTTAAAGAAAAGATTGTGAAAAAGGTCTTCCTTGGCAAGTTTGTTCATTAGAAGGTGATATAAGAGGCAGTTACTATTATTACATAAACCATGAATTAAAAACACAATTCATTGATTCAACAACCTAAATTTCTTGCGTCTCGCAACAAATGGTGGTTCACAGATACGTCGAGCTGAAAAGGATAACTTCTAGCTTATATAAATTGAGGATAACAATGACCAACAAGTCTTCTTATTCTAATAAGAATTAACAAAACCAATTAATACGAAAACCGTTTATTGGCAGAGCTACTTCGGTCATTCCCATTGTGCAAATACTACTTCTAAATACTCCTGTACTCTCAAAACCACATCTTCTTCAATAATTTGTATACAACTGCTATAAGGTCAATAATCCCCCAAAAATTGTAGGTTTTACAACAAATTACAAAACAGACCTAAAAAAAAGTAAATATTGGGAAAAACAACTCTAATCGAAGTACAAATAAATCAACAAACACCAAAAGCAACATTACATTGTCGAATATAAATTAGCACACTCCAATTTCAGCTCAAGACTCGAACTATTATGGGAATTAACAACAAACAAATAACAGAATATATGATAATCAAACATTAAGAACAACAACATCCAATAAACTAATGCATTCAATTCACTCAAACCCTAAGCTAATAACTAACACGAATACATGCAATTAGAAGAAAAAACACGATAATTCGCGAAAATATAAATTGATTAAAGGAAAAATTACCCCATATCAATGTCATTGTAATCATCGTCCGCCATTGAAGATTGTTGAAGCTTGCCTGAAGCAAACACAAAAACCCTAAATTGGTTCTTGGTCGGAAGAGAGAGAAAGAGAAAGAGAAAGAGAAAGAGCAGAGAATTGGGAGTATGGAGAAAGAAGAGTATTTGTTGGGCTTTAATAATAACAAAAATAGTAAGACCGACCTAACCCTAAAAAAAGGAACTAATTTTATTCATTGGGCCTTTTTTATTTTATTTAATTTTGGGCTGGATTTGTGTTGTTTTAAACGGGCTTTTATAATAGTTTTTGTGTTTGGATTTGAAATATTGAATTCATGTCTAGTAAAAGGGACCATATTACGTTTGAATTTGATTTGGTGGAAATATTTTCAATTTTTAATTCAATTCAGCTCTAATTAGTTCTGTTCAGTTTTATTCCATCATAAACAGTACAGTTTAACTCAATTCAGCTCAGTAAATCATAACAGGCCCATAGCTATATGTGTAGTTGTTAGTTGTCGACTAACGATTATATGTGGAAATAAATAATAAAAGTATGAGTGTTTGGTAAAATAGCTATTACTTTTAGCTGTGAAATACTACAAAAATGATGAAGTATAAGAAAATTCCAAAAGCTAATAATATTAACTTTTCACAAAAGCTAATCCAACCACTAAATTATACACCATCACAATATTACCAAACACTAATATTTTTTTACTAAGTAATGGTTTGAATAAGTCAAACCACTAAAAGTTACACAAATGCTAGTGCCGAATACACTTTATATCACCCTTGATCATCCATTCATCCAAATATCCAATCAGTTTTAGCTTTCACCTCCTAAATTAAAGGTATTCTTAATAGTATATAACTTGATTATTATTTCTCTAATATATTATATATAAAAAGCTTAATTGCTCAAATGGTTTATGGTTAAATGGTTGCATCATACGAAGTATATAATATACAAAGGTTGTATATTTTATAATCGTCCCAACAAAATTCAATAAAATAAAATCCAATGTTTTACAAGGCTTATAGCTACATCCTAATTCCTAAATCGATCAAGTATATCCAAGATTTAATGACAAAGGAGGTATCACTCCTTATCAAACTAACATCTAGTTGTATGTTGTATTATCTACTTGTCCAAAGAATCACAATAATTATTCACTATATAAATACTACTCCGTACTTTGATAATGAGTTGATGATAGTCACACATCATAAAATTGCTCTTATTAGCTTTTTTTTTTTTTTGAATAGTTGCTTTTATTAGCTTATCTCACGTGAATTTATGCTCCTTATCTATTACCTCTGATCAATTGAATGATCCATTAATGCCTTATTTTAAAAACATAAAAATTAATTAACGAGGATTATCATTAATTCATGACATTTTGACATAAACATAATGAAATATTCTACTCTAACAAAAATAAAATTAGAACAAAATAATGTGAGCAATTTCCTAATTAAGTAATGGGACCCATTGTCACGTAAGAGATGGCCCACATTTATGCTTACCAAATGTCTTTTTCATCTTGGAAACATTCTTTGATTTCAAAGGAGACCTTCCAATGCAAAGATGCATAAATTCGAACCATGTTGGAAGAAAAGTATTTTCTTTTCAAGGGTAAATTTTATGAATGATTTTATAGTCTTGCTACTTGTAACTTTTGTGTTTAGGGAAATATAATAAGCAAATTGGAAATAAATGATCAATCAAATGATGTATTATTGCTCGAAACAACTTGAGTTGGGTAAATAGCTAGTCAATGTAGCAATCTCATTAATCAATGTCTAGCAATATGAAGTTTCGTGTAAGATTATCCACTAATTAGACTTTCAAGCAAAAGGAGAGAATGGTAAGGTTTGATGATAATTAGTCAAAATTGGAGTGAAATTGCGCAACTTTGCATGTGGAGGTATTGGAGTAGAAATGGTAATTCCAACTTGGGAAAAGTCACTACACAATTGACACTAATACTACACTAGTGAGATATTATTCCACAATATACTTTAATGTTTTTATTATTCACTTGTTATGTCGTGTATGTGACACAGTGATAGTAGTAATATAGTCTTAAACAAACGTTACACTCAAATATAATATATAATAATTTGATTTGCTATTTAATAAATCTTGTGAACGACTTTTTTTCACCAAGAGAAAAACTATTAGTAGCGTAATTTAAAGACTCAACTGGCTAAAAAGTTGGAGTTTATTTGCTTTGTTATGATGAGTATGATCCTACCATGTAAGAGATACAAAAACCTCTTGAGAAGCTATCCTAGATTCAAGAAGTGTGAAGTGTTTCAAAATTTTGATACGCGCGGACTTTTAAATGCGAACACGTAATATATGAGCTACTCTTAATATTCAGTAGAATTCCTAAAGCAAAAGCTACCTTACTTGTCTAGCTACTACTAGCTAGTAATATTATGTAGTCCTACTACTTAATCACTATCACGAGAAAAGACATGGGAATTTCTATTTTGATTTTACATGTTTTTGTTCTTATTGAATGTACATACTCCGTGTTAATCAATAAGTTGATACATGTTATGGGGTGTAATAATGGTGTATGTACATAAGACAGAACGGGATAATTGTCGAATGTTGCCAGTTTAAAATGCCAATGCAATATGATTTTGATTTAATTAGTATAAAAAAAAGTATGGATTTTTCATTGTTTCACAATGTTAATTTTTTAATGTTTTCAAAATTATCATAACTAGCATAGTGCCCGTGCGATGCACGGTTTATAAATCAAATTATTAAACCCGTAAGAAAAATAAAAACAAAAACAAAGGTAGTTCATTTACTATTAAAGGACTTGTACTAATGGTCAATAAAAAAAAATTAAAGGAACGTTATTTGAATAGTATTTTATGTTATTTGAATTTCTTTTAATTTTTTATAATATTATTTTATTAATTGAAAAATAATTAAATAATACTCCACATAACTATATAAGAAGTGGACTAATTTATTTATATCTCCCGTTGAGAAAAAACTAAATTTTTCTTATCATACCATCCTCATTAGTAACTACAATCAATCTAATATATACATGTTTTATTTACCCGTCGCACTGATTAAATCTATAGACACAATAATAACCTTATATTTGACCTACGAGAACATATATTTTCCTAAGTTAAGCATTGTGCCAAAAACTATATATTATATAATAGTCATATATATAACCAACAACTGATTAAATATAGTATATGACACAAATACTTTTTGTATATAGGTATGGATACTGATAGTTTTATATAAATAAAATATACGGAGTATATATTACTAAGATTTATCCCTAACTTAATTATAAAAAGGTTAACAAAACTCTTATAATAGTGCATGGACATTTATATATCTAAAAATGTTCTTGTTACATACATTTTCCCCCATTTAATTTTAAATGCCTTAAAATTGTCTCTTGAATTCGCTAAATTGATTTAAAAGGTTGTGTTTATTCAATATTTAAAGCCATTTACTATATTCATTTCCTTTTGTTTTAATTTTTCTATTTAGAATTTATTAGACTATTAGATTTCAAGATCGAAGTCAATATTTTTTTACCGTACAATCACTAAATCAAAGTCGCTCATTTAAAGTTTTGGACATTGCATAGCTACACAACATCCAACACATTTAATGATTACATGCAAATAATTTTAATAAAACTACGCATTCGATATAAGTTATTAAACAATTTAATTAACTATATATACATTTTGATAGGTTTATATATTTCATATTAACAAAAATTTACAAATGTTATTATCATATTTTGAAAAAAAAAAATTAGACTTTGGAATTTTGTATAAGATAGATAAAGTATAAGTTAATTCCCGTCATATATGCATTGAGTTTTGGGTGTTCTATCCGGTTCCCTTTGGGCTAATCCAGATTTGAGGATCAGTTCTAGGTTATTAGGTTCTACTCCCCTTTCGATTGTTGTTGCAGGGTGCACACAGGTCCTCCCTACCAAGTGTAGTCTCAATCACCACTACACCAACAACCAATTGGTGTAGTGGTGATTGGGACTACACTTGATATGGAGGACACGTGTTATAAAATATTATATTATATACATATACTTTTTTATATTATAAAAAATATTATATTATATACACATACTATTATAGTTAAAAGTATTATTATGTATAAAACAACATAAATTATTGCACATGATTGTTGTATATCTAGTATAGTACATGAGCAATGCACGATTTTTAAATCAAAATGTTAGTTTTTCTAAAAAAAATTCATAAGTAATAGCATTGTTAATTTAAAACATAAGTAATAGTTATAATACATTTTATATCTATCCCTTTTCCTTCAAATGTCTAATTCAATTTAACTTTTATTCTTCTTGTTTAGATTGGTTATTGGTTCAGTTTTTTTTTTTTTTTTTTTTTTTTAATGCAAGAAAAACAAAAGTTCATTGTAAAAAACATTGTATAGAAAATGAAAGGCCGATTAAAATTAAATTTATGTTCAAAATTATGTATTTTTTTCCAAGACAACATTTCGGCTCAACATTCAGTATTTGTCAAGGAGTACAACAAACGATAAAAGTAATTTTTACACTATTTTGTATCTTTATCAAAAACTTTTGTATTCATCCGATTACTTGAATTGAATTTAGGATAACTTGTAGACTATTCTGGGTAACTTTTATCAATAAAGCATAAATCACTTTCATTCATTACAGGGTAACTTTTATAATAGGTGCACAATATTTTATTGTACATCTGATTTTTTTTTTAAATGTTTGTATTGATTTCATAATTGACGTCAAACTAAATATTATCGATTTTATTTAATTTTCATAAAAAAAACAATATTAGCCTTTCAAAATACGAAATATTTGTTTTCTTAATTATGTCACTTTAAACATATTGCTTCAAATTAGTTATTATTCTGTAACTTAACTATAAATAAAGATTGGAAAGATTTTATGGATTATTTGTAGTATTGAAAAGTATATATTTATTATAAAAAATTAAATCAATATTTATGTTAGGAAATCATGAAAATCTTATGCATGTATAGAAACTTGCTTTTAATGTTTGTAGTTTAACAAAAATAACTATGCTTGGATATGTAAACAGTAATTATATAGATATATTTTATACATAAGATAAGCCAATGAGAGAGTGACATTTGTCATCCTCACATTGAGGCGCTTGTCTTTTAGTGTAATATATAGATAGATAGATAGATAGATTGGGCATTAAAACTAATAGCGTCATGTAATTAAATATATTGTTCTTTAATTAAGCATGAGAATTGGGCTTTTTTTTAATACATATTTCATATTTGGGTTTGTATAAAGATTATGAGGATTTTATTACCATTATTTGAAGATTATGAGGATTTTATTACCATTATTTTATATTAAAACATGTCTAATATGGAAGTAAATCATGCTATTTAACATAAATCCTTTATGCTGATAGCATACATCTAAGAATGAGATATTATTATTTTTTTTTTAAAAAAAAATATATATTAAGCAAATGCTAATTTATACTAATCACCCAAAGTAAAAATTATTCTCCAGACATTATTAATAAGTCATAAATTAAATCCAAATAAGAATTACGGGTACAAATTATTTTATACTCACATCTATAATAGGAAAAGCCGCGTTGTAATCTTGCAAATCTTGAATTCTTAATCACTCTTCTTTTCCTTCTCAGATAAATATACCTCCCCTAAAAGTTTAATAATTCGTAATTTCCATTTTTTATTTTAACATTAAGTCTCGTGCATAATATCTAACCAACTGTGCAGCAGATTATATGTTGCATCACTGGAGCCTATCAAAAAATAAATCCTTTTATAGATAGTACGTAGTATTTTGAAGAAAATTATTTTTTAACGTTTGTAAGATTTCTTCATTACAAAAAAAGACTTTTAATACGAAGTAAAATATACGGTATTATACTATTATTACATACTTACATTATCTGTATTTTAAAAAGAAAAAAAAATTCATTAAAAAATATAGCACAATCACACTTTTCATTTTGTCAAACCCACCAACAAAATAACATATACTCTTCCATATATATAAATATCCCCCCCATAAATTTCATTTCATTAATTTTCTCCCTCACTTCCAACACTATGGCACACCACCACCCTTACTACCACCTTAAACACAAACTCTTCCTCTTTTTTAGCCAAAAATTAAACCTTTATTACTTACTATCACTTCTCCTCCTTTGTACACTCTCATATCTCCTAGGCTCTTACCACCCTACCACCCCACCTTCGTCGCTTTTCCCCGTAAAACTCTCCACCTCATGTTTCACCTCCACCACCAACTCCACCAATCCGCTACTGATCCCCCTCGACTTCAAACCCCACCATGAGATCCCTTCACCAGCGCGTGTACCTCACTTCCCTCCATGCAACCCTAACTTATTCGAGTACACTCCATGTCACGATGTCGATCGTTCCCTACCATTCCCACGGGAACGCCTAGTGTACCGTGAACGTCACTGTCCCTTGGAAGAGAGTGAGTTTCTACGGTGTCGTATTCCTGCACCTAATGGTTATACGACGCCGTTTCGATGGCCGGAAAGTAGGGACATGGTATGGTACGCTAATGTTCCTCATAAATGGTTAACCGTCGAAAAAGCCGGTCAAAATTGGGTCCGGTTCGAAGGTGACCGGTTCACTTTTCCTGGTGGTGGTACCATGTTTCCTCGTGGTGCTGATGCTTATATTGATGAGATTGGAAGAGTTATTAACCTCGACGACGGATCGGTTCGAACCGCTATCGATACCGGTTGCGGGGTAAGTATTTCATTTTTAGACCGGCCGGTTCATTTTGTGTGGAATAGTGTTAACTCTTTAGAAGATGTGGTGTTAGGAATATTTAGGATATGCTTTGGTAGAAATTAGTATAACAAACAAACAAATCAACTTTATTCAATATTGACTAGTTTTAATTCGTACTACTTTTTTATATCCAAACACAGTACAACTCCGTAATCATAAACACGCAATAACACAAATGAAATAAGAAATCGAACTAAACTTGTTTTTGCAATGGATTTAATTTAAGCAACTACTTAAATTAATTTGGTACTTGAAACTTATAAAGCTAAGGCTTAGAGTAATTATTACGGACTAATTTAATTTCTAACTAATTAAAGTTTGAATTCTATAAAACCATCCAATTATTTATAAGACTTTATATTAAATATGATGTTTTTTCTATGGTTTTGAGTTTTGACGTGTGATATTCGTGGAGGCCTATACATGAAGTTTGGTTGACTTTTCAATGGAATAATGGAGTTACGTGTTTGGGTAAAAAAGTTGATCGGTTTAGTTGAACCGGGAATGAACCGGAATTTGAGATTTGAAATTAATTTTTTGGGATTTTTGGCGATCAGTTTTTTGGATTTTCTTAGGTAGGTGAAAGAGGGGTCAGCTCAGATTATGGTAAGTATGATTTTATGCAGCAAATAAGAGGATTCATAGTACTGTTTCCTTTTTGGTAGATCACAATAATATTAATTGCTGGCAAAAGTTGATAAATGCAACATTTCAAGTATAATAATTAATCTTATACTTTCATTCATTCAAAAAAAAAAAAACTTTTAATTGATTAATCAAAAAAAAAATCGCCATTATTGAATGAAGAATTACTCTGTATTATTTTTATTTAAGAAATAGAATTACAAAAGATAAATAATGTCGGGCAAATTTTAATACTTTGTATAAAGTTTTAGTACCATCGTCTATATTTTAACCAATTAAACTAATTGATATTCATAAAGTCATTATATTTGAAATATCATTTTGAGTTCGTTTAAAAAAAAAAAAAATCATTTTGAGTTACAAATTGTCAAATTTACAATGACCTTCTGGATGTCAATTAATTTAGATGATTAATATCTTAAGGATGGTCCAAGTCTCCAAGACTTGTCTAGCCTAGATCTCTTTTATTGAGTTTATATTCATTGATGATAAATTATTGGATGATAACAAATACCATTAAATTGTTAATATCGATCTTTTAATAATTTTAATGTACTCCATCTGTTGAATCAATAATCACAATACATATAATGTATTATCAAACAGAGTAATTATAAATTATCTAACAGAGTCCAACTTTAAATCATACCAAGTATCAAGTGATTATGAGAAGAAAATAAACTAAAATGCTTTGTAAATATATACATACAAGTATAGCATAATCATGAAAGGCATTACTAAATTTAATTATAATAATGTATTTTATGCTTTAAACAATGTTCTTTCTCCTTCACTTAATTAGATGTGAAAGTTATTAAAAAAAGAGAGATAATGTTGCTAAGAAAATGAGAGCTTAATAAATTAGAATGTTTAAAAAGAGATCTGTAAGTTTGTCATTGTCTTTCATGCGTTAGATATGTAAGGGGACCATAACTTGTCAGCAAAGTAAAGATTCCACCTCTGTTTGTGCATGTAATAGGGTAAATCGAACTTCACAAATTTTGCCATTTGTACACTTTTTAATTATAAATCAAAGATAAACTTAGAAAATTATGATAACTACAACAAAATTACGGCTAATAACTTTAATCAATTGTTAACATTGTCTTTTATATACATTGATGAACATTATTATAATGTATATTATAATATATCTTCCTTATAATTATTGTCAAATCTTGGAATTTAACCATTTATATTAGCTAACAAGTAACAACTCTTCACAAGATGTATAGACTATAATGTCGTTTAATGGCTTTGATTAAGGGAGAAGATTGAAGCAAAATATATCCCACAATCACATAGGAGTAGTTAGTAGCCTGACCTCATATGGTCCAGCTACAAATTATTATACTCCCTCTATTTTTTTTTTCACGTGATTTAACAAAAAATTGCCCATATATGTTACAAGATTTATAATATTTAAATAGTATGTAATTAAAGATATGGAGATTGTGCGAATTGTGAATAATGACTTATTGAGGATTACTTTTGGGTAATATATCTGAAGGTTGCAAGTTTTGGAGCTTACCTTTTGTCACGCAACATCCTAACAGTGTCATTTGCACCAAAAGACACACATGATGCACAGGTTCAATTTGCCCTTGAGAGAGCTGTACCGGCATTGATAGGGATCATGGCTACAACCCGCCTTCCTTACCCTTCGAGATCTTTTGACATGGCTCATTGTTCGCGCTGTCTCATCCCTTGGGGTCAATATGGTAACTTAACATCTTATTGTGTTCTGTTTTTATGAGCTGCATTATAAGACATCGAGGTTGTAAATAATTGTGATTCGTGTTTGTTTTAATGTTTTCATACCATAACATTATTAATTATTGTTACGGATGGAGTACATTATATGATTTTTGTCTATAATAATGTATTCATTTAACAGAACTTGCAATATGTGTCATGACACATAGCAAGTTCTGTTACTAATTGACGTTTATAATGTATATGTGTTTATTGAGTGTTCATGTTTTCATGAATTCTACACATTCACGAGCTAATTAGTCACTTGCTTTGAACGAGCAGACGGACTTTACTTGATTGAAGTGGACAGGATCCTACGGCCTGGAGGTTACTGGATCCTTTCCGGGCCACCCATCAACTGGGAGGGTCATTGGAAAGGTTGGGATAGAAGCAAGGAAGATTTGAGCTCTGAACAAAACACCATTGAAGCTGTTGCTAAAAGCCTTTGTTGGAAAAAACTGAAGCAAAGAGGCGATATTGCAGTATGGCAGAAGCCTTCTAATCATGAACACTGCAAGAAGAGCCGCAAGGTTTTTAAGAAACCGCGATTTTGTAATGCTCAAAATCCTGATCTTGCATGGTATGTATACAATCTTTTATCCTATAGTCTACCCTGTTACCTATAGTCATATACTCCCTCCGTTTCATTTTATTTACACACGAGTTTTTTTGAGTATTACTAAAGTTCATACAATTTGATTGGTTATTGTAGGTATACAAAAATGGAGGACTGTCTAACTCCACTCCCTTCAGTCTCTAACATAACTCAAACAGCAGGAGGGGAAAGAGCGAAATGGCCAACTAGACTAACATCAATTCCTCCAAGGGTGAGTAGTGGTAGCTTGGAGGGTATAACCCCTGATGTTTTCACAAAAGATACCGCGATTTGGAAGGAGAGGCTAGCATACTACAAGTCCTTGAACAATGCACTAAATGATTCAGGGAGGTATCGCAATCTCCTTGACATGAACGCGAAATTAGGAGGCTTTGCAGCTGCCCTTGTCAATGACCCTGTTTGGGTGATGAATGTTGTCCCTGTTGAGGCTAAGGTTAATACTCTTGGAGTAGTTTTCGAACGTGGTCTTATTGGTACATACCAAAGCTGGTAAGTCCATTATTATAGTTGGTTTTTGTAACAAAGTTTTCCTTCAAACTTCTTGCAACAACTAAAAACTTTGTCTCTTGCTTATATACTAGTAATCAAGTAATAACTACATATAAATGTACACAAATATTTGATTTACACTCCAAAAATTGCATAAAGTTCAATACTAATTAATGGTTTTATTTCGAATATTTCTGCTAGGTGTGAGGCAATGTCTACTTATCCAAGAACGTATGATTTGTTACATGCTGATTCTGTATTTAGCCTTTACGATGGCAGGTAATATATGTTTTTTCCCTTTATAATGATCCAATTAGCCTTCAAATTAACTGATTTAAGTAGCTGATTAAACTTCGTGATCACGAAAATATGCTGTAGGTGTAAGATGGAAGACATTCTACTAGAGATGGACAGGATTTTACGGCCTGAAGGTTGTGTAATATTCAGAGATGACATTGATGTTATAGTGAAGGTGAAAACTAACATCGACGAAATGCAATGGGATAGCATAATATATGATCATGAGGAAGGTCCAATGCAAAGAGAGAAGGTCATGGTTGCTGTTAAACAATATTGGACAGCTCCTTCACCTGCCCAAACTGATTCTTAAAGATTATTAAGGTCCAAATCTTAGGTTTTTTACCCCTTTTTTTTGTTCATTTTGGCAATCGATTCTTTTGTAAGCTCTTTTTTATTTAACATTTGAAGTAACCTTTCTTCGGAAACATACTTAAGTCTTTGGGTCGTCTTCTCTCAAGAGTCAAGACTCACCACTTCTTTGGTGAAATGTGAGTATTGGTGGAGGAAAAGGAAGATGCTACTACCATTATACTCACTAGCATTACCCCCGGTCTATTTTAGTTGAAATTTATAGACGATAAACATATAGTATATCTAATTCTTTTATTATTGTTGTAATTGATTGATTTATAGAGTTAAAAAAATCACAGGTAAAACATTTCTGTGATCATCTCATGTGTATGGAAATGTCAAACTATTAGAATTTTCTTTAAAATGATATATTATCTCTTGGATGTCTTGACAAGAATGAATTTGTTCATGAGCTATCTATTATTTGTCATTGACAATTTCGAAGAGAGTTTTTGACTATAAGTTCCCTCAATTTCTTTGCTATAAGTAGAAAATGCTTCTTGTAATAAAAATTTTCCATGTATGGGCTTCCTTCATAAGATAAATTGTCTCAACATCACCTATCCTTAATATTATAAAATGACAATTGATTAAGATAATTTTTCAAGAGTCCATTAATTTAACTAGTTACATTTCATCATAGATAATGATAATAATAATGATACTCTTTAACTTTTATAAATTCCTTGTAATTCCGGTTATAATTTTTATACAAATAAACTTCAGACGATTTGGATTTGTTTTAAATTTTGATAATTTATTAGGCTAATTTCAATATTCAATCTATACTTCGTATTGGATTATAGCTTGTCACAAGATTAGGTGTCAATACAGCTAATTAGGATGAATCAGGTCAAGTCTTGTTAGATCAAATCTAGTTTAGGTTTGAGTCGTACTAAATTATTACGTAAGTCTAAATCTAAATTGGGTTATTTTTAAATTAGGTTGAGATAGGTTAATTTTTGACGGATTTTGTATCAACTTGACTCGAAAAGGTTGGAAGTCTGACGTGGTGTAACCTTTCTACTCCGGCCCAAAGAACGCACCGTGTTTCTCCTCAATTATTCCAAGTAGAAGACTAGAAGTAGAACTCCACACTTTCTGTAAACAAAATAGAAAGAGAAAAATAAGAACACAGAAACTCAATTTTCGCTAAAACCCCTTTCTCTCTCATCCTCACCCCCAAATTGATCGCTAGGGTTTTTCTCATCCCAGAAAATCCCCAAATTCATCAATGGAGAACGACGAAGAAACGAGTTCAGGTCAGATGATGGACGAGATCTACGCCAACGGTGACGATAAGCAGCCTCACAAACCAATCATAAGCAGCGGAGAACAACTCGACGTTGAAGCCTACGCTTTTCTCTACTCTGGTAGGACGAAGATCATGCGGCTATTATTCATCGCTGATCGATGCGATACTAACCCTTCGATGCAACTCGAAGCCCTAAGAATGGCGTATGATGAAATCAAAAAGGGTGAGGATACTCAGTTGTTCAAGGAAGCGGCGCAGAGGATTGATAATCGATTAGGGCCTAATTATGGCTACGATTCTTCTTGGATTGAGGCTGTTGAGCGTCGTGCTGAGCAGAGGAAGGAGAAGCTTGATAATGAACTCAATGCTTATAGGGTATGATTATGTGTTTTTTGTTTTGGAATTGTGAATTGAATTTTTGATTGATGAATATGTTATGATTACTGATTAGGTTTATGTATTTGGAATGTTGAATTATAAATTTGTGTGATTGGGAATTTTGGGTTTGGAGAGAGTGTGTAGTGTGCTTAGAAGTTAATGTGTGACTGTGTGAGGTTGTAATGATGAAGTAATGGTTGTAATTCGATTCCCGGGACCTCGGTAGTGAGGGACTTAGGGTGGTTGTTGCGGTTTCTTAGTTGGTATGGTGGTATGCTTTGTGGTTGGTCAGGGTGTACAAAGTTTAGAATTACATAGAAGTAACCTATTACTTATATCTCAAGGAGGGATTGGAAAAATGCTTCTGGATGATAGGATAACGAGACTTTGTAATTACAAGCAATTGCGAGAAAAGCAGCCCTTGGGTTAGGGCTATAGATCTATAGTCTGTGGAGCTTTGGTATTTGTGGACCTTAGGTTTTTCCTGTGCAATACTTGTGTCAAAGGAGGTTTGATTGTGGTTATGAAGTTGGATTTTTATTATTTTGTTGAACTTGTAGTTGCGTCTTTTTCTTTTAGTTTCGTTGATAATTAGTTTTTGTTTTATTCCAGTTGCTAGTAGTTGCTGGTTTGATTTGAGGAGGTTCACAATTTAGCTCTTTAATTAGTAATGGGCTTACTGATTCCATAAAGCTTTTTGAAGAGGATGTGATAAAGTAGGGTTTTATTGCTGGTGGGATGGTGGAGGTTGGAGAAATGAGTGTGTGCCGTGTCCTCTATCTAGTTCCATCTGTCCATTTTTTATGGGCTTTTGTGAAGGGTGAAATCTCAACTAGTCAATTAATCTGAATCTAATAAGATGTTATTAATTATGTGGATCAGTTTTGAGCCCTTGTGTTATACCTTTTCTAATAAGTAACTATTAGTATTTTTTGTATTTTTGTCTTCTTTATATTTTGGCTTCTGTAAGTTTGTGAATCAATGGAGATCTAAGATTTTCTTATGCTTTTTCATTTGTTAATGCACCTTCCAGTCTCCGCCTTACATGCCCAAACCAACGTTCATGGTTTTCCCTTAGTTTGTCTTCAATGCCTGTCACAAAGTGGTTGTGGCAAAGGGAAAATCGCCTATGTTGGTTTGGGCGTGTAAGACAAAAATCAAAGGGTGCACCCGATACGAAGAGTGGAAGAGTGGGACTTTGGAGGGGTTAAACGAGGGAGAGAGAGACCGAAAATGACTTGGTTGGAAGGAGTTAGGAAGGATATGATATATATGGATTTGCATGAGCCTGAGACCTTTTTTTTTTTATGACAAAGGAGCATGAGACATTTGATCATAAAGGATGGAGGAGGAAGATTTTTGTGGATGACTGTATGGAACAATTATATTTGGCTCATGTAGCCGACCCCACTTATGGGATTAAGGCTTTGATTGATCGGTGTTTATAGCTTCGAACTTTATAAAAAATCTGGATGAAGTTTATAACTTTATATACTAGGACAGCTTGAAACAATGATTTGTTTTGTTTGATACAATTATTTTGTTGTATTGGTTATCCTGTTGACTTGCATTTAGATTTTTAATTCTTGTACAAAACTGATTTTAGTTCTCCAGGTGCACTTCTTTTATTAATGAGATCTTTATCTTATTACTGGCTAGTTAATTTGTTTCTTCCTTTTGGCGCTTATGCTAATTCTATAGCCTTTGTTTGTGCAGACAAATTTGATTAAAGAAAGCATTAGGATGGGATACAATGATTTTGGCGATTTCTATTATGCTCATGGACAGTTTGGGGATGCCTTCAAGAGTTATGTTCGCACTCGTGATTATTGCACCACTGCAAAACATATTATCACCATGTGTTTAAATGCGATTCTTGTTAGTATTGAGATGGGTCAGTTTTCACATGTTACCAGCTATATAAGCAAAGCAGAACAGACACCAGAGGCTCTAGACCCTGTCACTATTGCAAAACTTCGTTGCGCAGCTGGATTGGCTCACTTAGAGGCTAAAAAATACAAACTTGCTGCCCGCAAGGTTTGTTTACTCTAGTCTCTTTATTAAAAGGGAGCAATTGGTTTTGAAAGTTCTATTGCAGTACTGCTTATTTATTTAAACCTCTGCCTTCCATCACTCTGGATTTAGGAGGGATGTAGTTAGGGTATTCAAACAGTCACATGGAAAGATCTAGTTTAGCTATTCTTGGTTATAAAAATTGTGCTTATGGATGGATTAGAAGTGCCTAAATCTGAGGAATCTCATGTTAAGACAAGGAATACATCTGAGAGGTTTAGTGCGCTAGTATGTAAATCTGTGGTGTGCCAAGAAAAAATGGTCAATGTTGAAGTTTTGTTATGAATCATTATTATATTGCATAATTCATCTCTCTTCATTTCTTTCTGAAGTTTGTTCATTCTAAAGCAGATCTGTAATGTTTATATCAAGTTGTAATGTTCTTCTTCCTGCATTTGGTTTTGTCAACCTTGTCTGACATTCTGATTGCTATTTGCACACATGGAATTTTAGGTCTGATCATGCATATTTGGCAAAACTTTGCTGCTTGCTTAGCAAGTTCTCTAGATTGACGTGCTGATGTTTCTGCAGTTCTTAGAAGTTGGTCCTGAGTTGGGTAATAATTATTCTGAAGTGATTGCACCACAAGATGTTGCAACCTATGGTGGACTCTGTGCACTTGCTACATTTGATCGAACTGAACTCAAGGCATGTACTGAACATCTGTCTTTCTGATAATTCATGATTTCATGTTTGCTACTATATTAAAGTGTTACTTTTTATAATTGGTATTTTGCAGAATAAAGTTATTGACAACCTCAACTACAGAAATTTTTTGGAATTGGTTCCAGAGATTAGAGAGCTAATCAATGATTTCTACTCAAGGTAATTGAAAAAAAAAATAAAAAAATATATATACATTGTTATAGACTGAATTCTACTGATTTAATTAAGCATAATTAGTATTTAATTAAGGCTAAAAGCTTAAACATTTGATTGATTAAAGGTTGGATTACATAAGGATAGTCATAACTTGAGGTTATGAATCTCTCAGTAGCTTTAGGCTACAAATCTCTCTAGTAGCTTGAGGCTACAAGTCTCTCAAGAGGTTCACTCAATTTCTGCCTACCTTCTATGTTACACATACTAACTTACGTATACTAATGGTCAAGGTTGACCTTAAAGCTTACATGTGACTACTAAACGAAAATGGAAAAACCATAATAAAACATACTAAAAGCTGATTGCTTTCTTTCCTTCTCTTCTTCTTAATTAAATTTGTCTTTTACTTAATTACCCCCTAAAGTTGGTCTATTACATTACCGGCCCCCTAAAGTTCCACCTTGTCCTCAAGGTGGTTTGTAATCGGCACTTGAATCTGGGTCCCGGTAACGTTGATCTCTACTCCAATTCTTGTGGGCCAAGATTGAGAATGAGCTGCCATGAGGGTTGTTGACATTGGTAATTGTAACAGAAAAGCTCGGCAGTTTGCAATGAGAGATGATTGAATTTTGGGTGGAATAAGTGGTGCATGCCTTGAAACAGTACTTGTGCAAGTTAGGGAGAACTAAAGTGTAGCTTGGTAGGGAATAGAAGATGATGGGCTTAAAATGTGGGAATAGTTCATAATGTTCTGGTTGCTAAAGGATGGCAGGGTAGATATATATATATATATATATATATATATATATATATATATATATATATATATATATATATATATATATATATATATATATATATATATATATATATAATAAGCCCCTTTTATTCTCTTTATTATTACTGTGGAATGTTCTTCTTCCTCATTCATCTGTTGCTTCTTCGGGCTATCATTCAATTGGTCATTTATTATCTTAGTTGTTGAATGGGTGTGTGTGGTGATTTAATTTGTTTTGATAAGGATTGAAATATGATGCATTCTACTCCTCCACACACAACTACACACCAAAGCATGCAGCCTTTGGCCTGCCTGAGTGAGCTGGCTTTTATCTTGTGGTATTTGGTCGGACAGTATAGGATTATTATTTTCATCTCTTTTACAATATGCTAGTACTTGAACAATGGTACATATTGATAATTTGATATCAACAGGTAGTGTTCAGTTTGTGCTGGAATTTTTTGTTGATATCGTGTTTTGGGGTTATCTCACCCTCGCGGGAATTATGTTGTTACTCATTGTTCTGGTCTGTTGTGAGAAATACTGATTAAAAAGCATAGTATTTTTTTTAAGGGTTGGGTGGGGTATGTAATTTTTTTTTTAAAGATGAATGCAAATCACAATTTCAGTTGAGAAGCTCTAGAATCCAGATATGTAGTTTTAATTAGCGTCTTACTGGTTACCCTGAATTTCATGGCTAAGCTTTTCTAACCTCATTTTGTGATTCAATAATGTTGAAATTGTTGATAACCTAATATGCTTATTGTCCCAGCCGTTATGCATCTTGCCTCGACTATTTGGGAAATCTCAAAGCCAATCTTTTGCTTGACATTCATTTACATGACCATGTTGAGACTTTATACCAAGATATTCGTCACAAAGCGCTCATTCAATATACACTTCCTTTTGTGTCTGTGGATCTGAACATGATGGCAAATGCTTTCAAGACAAGTGTGTCAGGCTTACAGAAGGAGCTTGAGGCTTTGATTACAAGCAACCAAATACAGGTTAGGACTGAGAGTTTACGTGGAAAGTTTTAAAACTCGAGCATTCATATTTTATAAGCTGCCTAGTTTACATTACTTATGATGATTGGTATTGATCTTGTTAATGCTCTATGCAGGCTAGGATTGACTCCCATAACAAAATCTTGTATGCACGTCATGCAGACCAGAGAAATGCTACTTTCCAACGTGTACTACAGACAGGCACTGAATTTGATCGGGACGTTAAGGCAATGTTGCTCAGAGCAAATATAATTAAGCATGAATTTAATTTGAGGCAGACAAGAAAGATATGATCTAGCGTTTTTCAACATTTCTGGGGCCGTTAATGAAGAAGTATGGAATACAGAAGCATTTTTGAAGGGTATTCAACAATTGAGTTGAGATGTTTCTGCTTTGCACAGTTCTTATTTTGCTCATTTTGTGCATACTTGTACACTTAAAATTTAGTAGGCGAAGTTTAGATATTTGCTGGCACCCACCCTTCTGTTTCCGAGATCAGTAGGATGATATTATTATGGAAATAGAAGTGCTTATTCATGGAGATCATTTCTTTTGCTATCTTTGATTGATTTCGTGGCAGCCACTTCGCCCACTATACACTATCTGTTTTGAACTGTCCGTTGGATTATATAAATGAGAAAAACTGTCTTAATAGATACTTCGTAGCACTTGATGGGAGTTGCCATTGCCTTGGCTCTTAGTTTGATTGGTAGGTGTTGCACATCCCCATCCGAAATTTGCGAGGAAAAAAAAGATCTGAAAATGGTCATTAGAGAGTAGGGATGGCAATGGATCTGGACCCGACCCGGATCCGTGGATCCAGATCCCTTTTTCACGAATCTGGGTCTTCAAATTTTGGACCCGACGGATCCGGTCGGATCCGGGTCCTGCTGACAAAAACGGATCTGGATCTGGGTCTGGGCCCTAGACCCGGATCCGGATCTGTGGACCCGTTTTTTTATTTTTCCTATTTAAAAAAACTAAAATTGTTTGTTTCTTTATTAAAAATGTTGATAATTTAGTAATGATAAAGATTAACCCTTTCAATAGATGAATTTTGGATGCTCATATTATATACATCATCGTTGTTTTTTCACTAGTTCATATGTAACATCGTATTTTTTTTGTTGTTTATAATTTTAGTTCAAAATATGAGTGTATAAGTTGGTTAATTTGGGGTTGAACTTAATAACCAACAACGTAAGTTTGAAATAAATTTTTTGACCCGAACATTACATATATTGCAAAAAATTAGGCAAAATATATTGGACCCGTTTTGGACCCGGATCCGTTGGACCCGACGGATCCGGATTCGGGTCTTCATTTTCTAGACCCGACGGATCCGGGTCGGATCTGGATCCTATATACAAAAACGAATCTGAATCCGGGTTCATCCGAAACCGGTCCAAATCCGACCCGTTGCCATCCCTATTAGAGAGGTGTATCCATTGATGACTTTGTGATGATGTACTATGTTATACTTGTTCTTTATGTAATGCATCATTACACTACAGACTCCACATACCTCCCGTCTTCCTTAGGTCCAGCCCATCACTTTATTTGTGTGCAATGTTGGTGCATGGTGCATGTACATTGTGAAGCATGGACATGTTACCCCAAGTCCCAAGAGGTACTTGGTACTTAAATGAATTTATATGAACATGATATCGTTTTCGATACATTTTTTTTTTTTGGAGTAATTTCGATACAATTACTTCGTATGTAAATAGGTCTATTCTACTCTTAATTTAGCCATCTTTATATGACATTTTGACATGGGTTTTGACAAGAAAGCATAGTCATTTTTGATGTATTTTGCGCATGCTTCGCGAGATTATATTGTTTGAGTAGTAATTAAATGGATCGGATCCAACATAAGCTCACCAAGATTTTCATAGGTTATTTTAAATTTCATAGGTTAAATTAAAATATTTTCAAGTATTTTTTTTGATGAAAAAAATTTGTCAAGTTGCTCAAATGCTTGATTATTAAGTCTTAATTGAAAGTTATGTATTACCTATCAATATTTTAGTGAATCTATATACTTGTATTGCTTTATAGTTCAAGATGAAGCATTTCTTTAAATTATGAAAAAAAAAAACTATATTTTTTTAAGACATCTGTTTTTTTTAAATGTAATTTTTTTTTTTTTTAACAAGATCTTAGTTTTTTTTTTTTAAAAAAAAAAACAACAATTATTTATGGAGCTTTTTTTTTTTTTTTAATTATTATTATTAATTTTATCCTTTCTAAAATAAAAAAGATTCGAAAAGAAAAGAAAAAACCGGTTACCAGGAATAAGCTGCCGCCAATATCATCAGTTCTCTCTCATTTTCTCTTTCTCTCTCCTCTCCACTCTTCACACTCACTGCATCTCACCACTGCTAATCCCCCACTTTCTCCGCCATTTTCACACTTCAATTTTCCCCCAAATCTCATAAACCCTAAATCCCCTCATTATGCCCAATTAATCCTCAATTTCCCCAGATCTAGCTCAATCAATCCACCCCCATTTCAATTATGGGTCATCTAAATCTACCCTCCTCCAAAAAACCTGCTAAACAATGGAAACTTCTAGACTTAGTCACCGCCTTCTTCTTCGGAATCGTCATCCTCTTCTTCCTCCTCATCTTCACCCCTCTCGGCGATTCCCTCGCTGCTTCTGGTCGGCAAACGCTGCTTCGAGCCTCCGCTTCCGATCCCCGACAACGTAAGAAGCTTATTGTCTCCTTGGAGGAGACATCCTCCGGTGGTGGCCACATCATCGATACTTGTCCGGCTGAGTTTGTCGATTATATGCCTTGTGAAGATCCTAAGAGAAATAGTCAGTTGAGTAGAGAGATGAATTTTTACAGAGAACGTCATTGCCCGTTGCCTGAAGATTCTCCGCTTTGTTTGATCCCTCCTCCTGAGGGTTACAGAGTTCCTGTTCATTGGCCTCAAAGTTTGCATAAGGTTCATTTTCTCTCTCCTCCCAATTTTTGTTTTTGATTTGTTTATGTTTTGGGATGATTTGGTTTTATAATATTGTTGAACTGATTTTGTTTTGTTGTATAAAGATGGGGTTTTTGTAATGTGTTGTTTATGGATTTGGTTTTGATTTAGTAATTATTGGTGAATAATGGTGATCAAATTGTTTATGATTGGATATTGTAAGATACCCTCATTTGAATTGAATGATTTGGGGGGTTTTTGGAATAGACTAACTGATTACATAGGATCTTTAGTGAAATCGTAGGGTATTGTTAGTTATGAGAGATTAAGAGAATGTGAAAACATCTTAATTACCGGATTTATAAGAAATGAGTGAAACTCCATGGCATCCTTGGGGTGATCTTGTAGTTACTACGGGTAGAAATGATGAGGTCGGTCCATGGATTTCCCTTCCTTTTGCCTCTAAGGTAGACAGTGCATCAAGTTGTTCGCAAGGTCCAACTTGATCCTTTTTCCCAGGATCCAAGATTGGGGAACCCCTGCAGAGCCTTCGACTTCGACTACATTCTCACTGATACAATGACTGCTAGATTGAGAGTTATGGGGGAGTTGTTAGTGTAAAGTCATTGGTTACTGAGCCATACTTTCTAGATCATAAGGATATGGGTAGGCAAATTTGATCGGAGTATCGCACGTTACATGGGTGCCTGGTTGATACAATGCAGTGAATTGATGTAATGCATAGAGGTGTTGTTGCATAGTCGCTGGTTGTCACTACAATCATGATGATGAGTTGATGTCAACCTGGTATGATGGATCTCTTGAAGTCCAATTGTAGTTAATTTATAAACTAGTAGAGAGGTTTTTTTGAGGATCCTTGGTGAAAATAATGTGGACAAATGGTAAGTAGATGTAAGTGGTAGTTGAACATGTGATGAAACTAGTGCTATTGATGTTTGGACTCTTCTTTACTCATATGCATGTTTGCAGGTGATTTTCTAGTATTATTTATTGTATTGTTGTTTTGCAGATTTGGCACTCAAATATGCCTTACAACAAGATTGCTGATAGGAAAGGCCATCAGGGATGGATGAAGAGAGAAGGTGAATACTTTATCTTTCCTGGTGGGGGAACAATGTTTCCTGATGGAGCAGTACAATATATAGAGAAGCTTAAGCAGTATATTCCCATTTCTGGCGGATCCTTGAGGACAGCTCTTGACATGGGCTGCGGGGTACGATGCTTTTGATTGATTCATTCTTTCGATAAAATACGGGTACTTTTGTAGGTATGTTTAAGATTAAGCAGCTCTTTCTTTCTTACAGGTTGCTAGCTTTGGGGGCTACCTTCTGTCAGAAAACATTATGGCTCTCTCTTTTGCTCCCAGAGATTCACATAAATCTCAAATTCAATTTGCTTTAGAAAGAGGACTACCAGCTTTTGTTGCCATGCTTGGGACACGTAGACTACCATTTCCTGCCTTCTCATTTGACTTGGTGCACTGTTCGAGATGTTTGATCCCATTTACTGCATACAGTGAGTTCTATGTAACATGTCACCTAAGTCTATATACGCCCCTGTTTTTCCTTTCAGCAACCAACTGATCTAATGTGGTTGACTTGGTTTGTAGACGCATCTTACTTCATTGAAGTGGATCGCTTACTTCGCCCAGGGGGTTATTTTGTAGTCTCTGGCCCTCCTGTGCAGTGGGCCAAACAAGACAAGGAATGGGCTGATCTTCAGGCAGTGGCTAGGTCATTGTGTTATGAGCTTATTGCTGTTGATGGGAACACAGTCATCTGGAAGAAGCCTACAGGAGATGCATGCCTCCCTAATCAAAATGATTTTGGGATTGGTATGTGCGAGGAATCTGATGCTCCAAGTTATGCATGGTAATTTGACGAAGGCAATGTGTTAAATTTTGGAGTTCATGACTGAAAATAGATACTTCTTTTTACTATGATAAGCATTAAGCAGTGACAAAAACTAGAATGAAAAGAAAACCTTGTTGGGATCCATTCATCCATCCTTGAGTGGCGTACTTTTTTTCTGTCTTCACAGACCTTCAGGTAGTCTTTTCTTCTGGAAAAAAAAGTGATTCTGATGCACGTGGCCTTTCTGCAGGTACTTCAAACTGAAAAAATGTGTGAGCAGAATGTCTTCTATTAAAGGTGATATCAGTGTTGGGGCCATACCCAAATGGCCAAAGAGGCTGACAAAAGCTCCTACCCGTGTTACTCAAATTAAAAATGGCTTAGATGTATTTGAAGCTGATGCTAGGAGGTGGGCAAGGAGGGTTTCTTATTACAAAAATTCCTTAAACTTGAAGCTAGGGTCTTCAGCTGTACGCAACGTGATGGATATGAATGCATTCTTTGGTGGATTTGCGGCAGCTCTCGTATCTGACCCTGTGTGGGTAATGAATGTAGTGCCTCCACATAAACCTTCAACACTAGATGTGATATATGACAGAGGTCTTATTGGAGTATATCATGATTGGTGAGTCTTTGTGGCATATTTATGATGTAATGCATTATAAGTTCTGTTGCCTTTTAACTAGATGTATGAGTTGACTTCCCATGACTAGAAAGTTGGCGGTGATTGCTAAAATGAAAAGGGAAAGACAGATGAATGATGAAACTTGGTATAGATTCCTTATTTGCAAAAGATGCTATATGGCTTTGACATTATAGTTAGTAACAGGAACCCTTGATTTTAGATATTTTCAGTAGAATTTCCCCCCTAATTAGCATTGATGCTCTGGAAAATTGCAGAAGCTCACCCAGTAACTCATCCTACCTTCCTGAAAAGGTTTCGAACATGAATTATAGAATTTTAGACCATCACTTGATTTTTCTAGAATCTAAATAATGCAAAAATTACGTCTAAGTTAAACCATTTAGGTTGATTAATGGTGCAAAGCCATGCTTAAGTAAGGGAGTAAAGGCACATTATTAAGACTTATCTACTTATTAGACATAAAATGCAGATTATGTAAGTACTTGGACTTGTTTTAAGGTTCACTATAACTCTTGAGCTGCCGGATGCTTAAAGACTACTTCCTTAAGGTGGTTTTCCAATGCAAATATTTTGCAAATTGGTCATATCTTGTTTGTAGAAAGTTGTCAAGATTGTATTCCTCAACTTATTTGATTGCTGGCCAATTAGCAGAAGCTTTTTTTTTTAATGCACTCATTTGTACAAAATCTGTCCATGCATTAAATTTAGCAAGGATGATCCTTGTTTATGCAATAATGCTTCTTTTATCCAGTAAAATCCTTGTACACCTCTTTGGACCTTTTGAACTGATATACTTTTGTCTAATGAAAAACAGGTGTGAGCCTTTCTCAACTTATCCTCGAACTTATGATTTTCTCCATGTATCTGGTATTGAGTCACTATTAAAAGATTCAGCATCAGGCAAGCAAAGGTAGGGTCATTGGATGCTTTGTACTCTTGTGGTTTTTCATCCATTTCATTTTCAACTTATTCATGAATTTCATGCTGTTGATGTGTTGTTCGTTTTAAAGGTCATCATGGTTTACATAACCTTCAATGCTTCATGAAACATATTTGATTCCCTTTTTGTTTCTCTGCACATTCTTTCTAATTGAATTGACTATTATTGTTTGAACATTCATCCAAGATTTTCTGGGCATGAAGAATATACTTAAGATCTGAATTGTAGAATTGTATTTATGTTAAATTGCTAATTGGGTTGCTGTCAGTGGATATAATATGTGCTTACTGAATTATTCATTTGTGGACTTTATAGTATTTCTCCTGAATTTATTCCTATTAAACTTGGACCTTGTCAAACACTTCGACTAATGAAAATCCTGGTCAGACTATTTACACTATTTTGTTAGACTCTGAGGGTCCTGCAATTCTGCTAGGAGAGCTAGTGAGAGGGTTTTTAGATGGTGCTCCTATCCTGAACAGCACTGTACTCTTACCACCTTTACTCTACACCTTCCTCTCTCTTAATCTTCATGCCCTATCTCAATGTTGACGGGACGAAAAGAATATAATACAGATTTTGTAATTTTATTTGAGAGGTCCCAGAATTTTGAAAACATGGATGATAGATTGGCGGGGAAAAAAAAAGGTATTTTCTTACATTGTTTATAAGTTCTAGTCATGACTGGTTGATGTGATCTTAGTAGGCTATTGTTGGAAGATGTTTATGTCAACTAATTTCACTAATCTGCACAAGAGAATTTTAAAGATATTTTAGAAAATTCTAACTCAAATCTTGAATTTATTGCTGAACCTATGATGGGTTGGCCTTCTAAAATTGACTTCAGTAGTCAAAAACAGTGATTGATCTCTAATTTGGCTTGTTGTGTTCCTCTGTTTACACAGATGAAAGAAATTTCTAATGTTTGTTTTCAATATACATATGGTTGATTTTACATTGCTTCATGTGATATAAAGTGGTCTGTTGTCCTCTAGAAGCAATAATATGGAATTTGGCTTGTTATGTGTTCCTATGTTTACACAGAGGAAAAGGATACCTTGTTTATCAAAACTTTTAGGAAGCTGACAATTCGTCTTTTGCCATTGACCTGTTGCAGATGTCACCTAGTGGATGTGATGGTAGAGATGGATCGTATATTACGTCCAGAGGGAACGGTGGTGGTAAGGGACTCTCCAGAAGTCATCGACAAAGTAAACCGCATTGCTCATGCAATGAAATGGACTACCAGCATCCATGAAAAGGAGCCTGATTCAAGCGGGAGGGAGAGAATTCTCGTGGCCATCAAAAGCTTGTGGAAGGCAGATCATTGACACAGATATAGCAACTAGTCCCTGTAGTGTATCATTTTTTTTGAGAATTTTCTGTTTATTATGTATTTATATCTATCTATCTTATGGCAAACTTACATATCTATGCACAAAAGTGCATCCAGCCAACCTGACTACTAAACATTTTCGCATTTCTCCCTAAATTCTTTTTTTTTTTTCTCTGTTTAGTTAGTGTTATGTAGGATTATAATTGAAGGAAGATATATAGTCCCATTATACTGGAGAAAATTGTTACCTCTGTGTTCATACGCTGGTCTCTTTTGATCGATTATTTTAGACATTATATAATACTTCCACACTTTGTGTTAATTAAACTTGTAAAATTATGATCTTGGAAAAAATGGTTCAAGTTTGTACATATAGTAATTATACCCTTTAAGAAATTTAATGTTACATTTGAGTAATAATTCTACATTTATACTCAAATTTAACATTAATGTATGGAGATCTGTTGTTTAGAAGAAGTGTGAATACTAATTAGGCTTATTTAGACAAAATGATGTACTCCCAATTAAGTCCGAATGATATTTTGAAGTAGGGCAATTTGGTTCCCCTTCTCGTCATCCCCTTTCAAAGACTCCGCTAACTTAGATTGGGTTGATCCGTACAGGGTTTCGACCTAGTCAGAGTCTCCTCTTTACATACCAATATACGGAGTATAATGTATATAATGAATAAGTCAACATTGAAAAGTTGAATAAAGAGTACTTAGAAAGAAGAAGAAAAAAAATCAAAACGGTCTTAGAATAAATCCACTCCGAAAGAGTAGTCAAGTCTTTCTCAAAAGGTATGTGTTTGAACAATCTAAATGAAGTTCATTTACAAGCGTCAACATCGTTATCGCTTCGATTTCATTCTCCAAGCCTCCATGTCTCAAATGGGACCATTCGTAGTAAATTTTCATGTCCCTAAAAATGAGTTCATTCATCATTTTCAGGTAATTTTATGTCAAATTTATGAACCACTACTCCAAACCTCTTGTTACTACAAAGCCAAGTCGTGGTCTATCCTATCCCCTATCATTTTGAATTTTGATATATACCATGTGACTGGTTTGGGATAAACTTAGCTAATCTAATGGGATGTTCCTACTACAATCTAACATGCCTTTGTTCTTCTCTTATATATACATCGCTATGGTTTGATATGAATTGAATTGTCCTAAATTGATTCTATACTCGCCGATATTTTGATAATTAAGTTCTTTAGATTGAGATTGCCCTTCAATGTTACACATCTTAGGTTTGCTAGCACAATCAAAGTTTGTTGAATGGTACAAGTTGAGCCAATTTCCGGCATAGTAACATGCATAAGACGCTTACATGTTATATGAAAATCTTGATTACGTGCTGTCTGAATGTATGTATATCTGATATCGAATGAACTGTTTAACATTATTGTTAATTTTCATGGTTATATATTGAAATAAAAGAGTCAATAATATCTTTATTCTTAACTAGTATTCCTAATCAATTCTCAATTTTTGTGAATTTCCTCAAAATTTATACTCATTCAAAATTCTTGACTTGGAAAGGGTCTATATCATTCAACTCGACGTAGAAACAAACAAACAAGCAGTCAACTTCTTATGAATTTTTATTTTAATTTATTGTATTTATTGTTAACTCAATTTTTGGCAAGGACTTGTCATGAAAAATAATCGAAACAGATTGATTTCTGCCATTTATTGTGAAATCTGAATTAATGCACTGCTTGAGACATCTCTAATCAGTGTTATTTTCAATGGACAAATAGTTTATTTAATTCTTCTTTCTTAAAAAGAACCCAAAAAAAGGAAAGATTGGACAATTGTCTCACCAAAAATAAAAATAAAAAATAAAATAAAAATAAAAAACGAGTACAACACAAGTTTAGAGCACCCTGGTTGCAGGGACAAATACCCGCTTGTCATGGAACATTTTCCTTGATATTAAGATATCTCCCTAATTTTAATGCATGATCATCAATTTTAATGCATGGTAATCATCAAGACTTTGAATTTTGGAATAAGATTTTTAAAAAACATGGTAATAATTCTTTATTATTACAAATTTCTAAACAATCATTATTATTATCCTCAACTTAAGCTCACTAATAATTATGTAAAGTGGCTTCTTGTATACCTTGCATTTATGTAATAATGTGAGTATATTATACTTAGGTTATGTATGTTCTTCGGAGCAAAACTAAAATGATCAAATTGAAATAGAATATGAAAAGAGTTGAACAGATTGTATGGTGGTTATTACGGTTATTATGTTTTTATCCATCGTAATAAGATACAGAGTACTTATCTAAAAGACGGTGTTTCCCTATTCTCATCTCGTCTGATCAACATCCTTAGCTTACTTTATACGAGTACTTCGTATATGTAAGACGGAAAATGTGGCAAAGTTAGGTAACCGTAAACATATGTTTGAATTTAATCATTTATATCAACTGAATGGAATTAAATAAAGGAAAATAAGTGGATTAATAAGTGAAAATTAAGAGAGAAAAGAATTAAGGGAGTAAAAGGCAAAAGATTCGAAAAGCTGTATGCAATAGATTCCAACTATATTGAATATTCCTCGGTTGAGCCGTTATTAAACTCGTAATTAATTAGTGGTAAAAGTATAGTTAAGTACACTGCTAATAATTACTCTATCCAGCTGTCAACCTTCAAAACACAAACATTAATGCTCCTAAATTTTGAAATTAATGGGATTAGAGCCTATTTAGTGAACTAATGACTAGTTGTATTAATGACCCTTATTTACAAATTCATCTGTCAACTCTCAAAGTTTGTGAGACTCGTATTAATGAAGAAGCTTCTCTTTTAAGATCCATATGTAATATGCAAAGTTTTAATGTCTCAACCCTAAAAAATTGCTGCTGTAATTTAATCTCAAAGCTACTTACTTCAATTCATATTAATTACAAAGTATTTTCTTTGTGTCTTAATGATTGTTTGATTCGACTTTATAAAGTTTTTTAAGACTCATCTTACTAAATATCTTTGTTTCTAAACATGCCTTAGGGCCTGTTCTCCTCAGCTGAATTTCAATTCAATTCAGTTCAGCCCTAATCAGTTCAGTTTTTAATTTTCTTCTCTTATAAAATAATCATTTTATTTCAGTTCGGTTCAATTTATTTGAATATTTCAAGTTATCCAAGTATATATTTGATGTAAATTATTGTAGTGTAATCTTTAAGGGAAGAAGGGAGTGATAATGGTACTAGTCATGAGTTTGGGAGGCTTTGAATTTATGCAAGATCTTTTACATCGAGGTTGGTGAAACTACATCATTGGCTGCATGTGATCATTTAGCTCAAAGTTACAAAGTCACAGTGTAGTTGTTGTAAGAGACCTTTTAAAGATCGAGTCTTTAATTTGCATCATATATTCATTTATTTGATTAAGGTTATTTCTCTAGTTCTTTATTTTGTCTCCTTGATCTAAACCAATTCAATTTGAATCCCCTTGCGGAACCGTTATAACAATGTTTATACATGTTGTTGGCCCTCATCTTCTCTATTGATAATTAATCCGTAGTTACGTTCTTATATGAATCATTAATTTAATACTCGTAGATAGACGTACAATAACAACATAAATGAGTAAGAAGAATCCAATTTAGTCACTGAATAACAAACATTAATTAGTATGTCTTTTCTAAATTGATTGTACATATTAATCGTTATTCGTATGTAAGTATTCAATTAACGTTTAAGATGTTGTATATCATACACCTCTTACAATTAGGATTTAAAAGATCAATAGCGCATGCATCCTTTGTACCTTTATTGTACTTGGTCAAAGCAAAGTTGCATTACAGAGTTGCACATGGTTGTATTAAGGATCAAATTAGCAAGGCTATTATCAATAATCTAGTAGCTAGAGAAGCATGCAAAAGGAAATTAATGCTTACATAAAGTATATTATTATATAATCTTTATATAATATCATATGGGTTAGGCACATTGTTAGCTAGCTGCCCTCTGGCCCAAACTTGCTATACAAGGTTTTCTCAATATTTTTTTAATTTGTAATAAAAAAATAAAAAAAATAATAAAAAAGTAATAATATAAAAAAAAAAACTATAAAATGATTGTATAGGGATTTGGAATAATAATTATCCTGTTTGAACCTCTTATGATCTTTCTATACCGGATTACTTCTATGTTCAATTTTGATGCTTGAATAATTCTAGGGATCTGAAATTTGAGTAAATACTTTGTTAAGAGTTTTGGTCCTACAAATTAATGAGTCAAACTAAAGTCCTTCAAAGATTCTTAATTATCGCTACACCCAAAACACACAATTTTTTGTACTTGTGTACTTTGTGTTTTAGTTTTTACTTAATTAGTTTTACTTTTACACATATAATCCCTCTAGTCTTGAAAGCAATAGTTCGCGTTTGTTAATATATTACTGTAATTATAAACAATGTTAATTGCATATTAGTAAAAATATATAATAATGGAATATCATATCAATAAACTACTGAAAATGATCAAATAAGACTTAACATGGCTAATCTATGTTGTACGTAGTGGTGCCAATATATTTCAAATAAGAAAGAAAAAAAAGGGATGGAATAATTAATATGGTCTTGCTATTTAAGGTATTAATTAACTTTAATAGTTGAAAGAACAGTGTTGCTTTGTATTATGTATTTTGGTGTTTTGGACTCTAAAGTTTGTCTCTTTTCAATTTGTAGAAGATTCAATTGTTTATGAAAATATTCTTGCTTTTAAAGCTATGTTTGTAGTTCAATGGATACATAATTTCAGAGTACTATGGTGGATGATCACAATATTGATTAATTTAAAATGACAACTATTTCAATCTTTCAGTAATTTAAGCGATAATACTATATCCTATTACAATAAAATTGGTTAATTACACCTTTAATTTGTTAAAGTCTAATGGATCCAATTTCGAATCCCTCATATGAATTTTACCAAGTAGATGCGAATCAAGATGCCTTCTAGCTTTTAATAATTTCTTAGTCATAAATTCGATATTTGACAAACTCAAATTAAAATGTTAATGTATTATGAAATTGATGAGAAAATAGTTATTATCTAGGAGATTTGAGTAAGAATAATATAATACAAGTATACTTGTCAAAAAAAGTCATTGAAAGAAAGAAAAATAATAGAGGTGTTTAATTTGTTCACAAAACTCATGTGAAAGAAAGACTAAAGATTCATCTTCAACGTCCTCCCCCCAACCAATAACTCCTTACAAACCCTTTATTGTTCTTTGTCAAATTTTTTTTATTTTCAAATAATTCATTTGTCCCTTAATAGTGAACGTGAATAATTAGATTTAATACATCATTTCCGACATGAAAGCATTGTGGTAAAGACCGGTACCCTAATTAATAAGCTTGTGTTCGCGAAACATATTCAAAATAATACTGTAATCTATACGGAGTATATAATAATACATGTTTTGACAATTGATTGATTGTTAAATCTATTACAATTAATTAAATATTCTCATTGCTAATCATCAAATCATTTGGACATAATTTGACCTAATTATTAAGTGCTACAAGCCTAAGCTAAGCACACCCCACTCTTTAATACTGGTATCTCTCATATTTATACTGCATGAAATAATTGTCTCAAAGACATAATAAAAGAACAAAGTGTGAACAAACAATAATCAATCCATTCATGCATGAAAAAAATTAATGAAAATATTTATAAAATATCCCGTATTAAAAGTTAAAAGACACAATTAATATGGATACATAGAAATATCAACAAGATTACAAAAGTAGCGTTGTCAAAATTATTAGAGTAGATCATTGTCCCATCAATAAAAATGGGAACACACAAATTGATGTTCCGTGACATTTTTTCCCCTTTTTTCATGGGAGCCTAGATTTTAATTCAATTAATAATTACAAGTTTATTTTGCTAGTCTATTTTATTCTTTTCATTATATCTTTAATGGAGTATTATTATTATTATTATTATTATTATTATTATTATTATTATTATTATTTGTTCCTAGGTCAAACCTCAAATAAACAAATTAAAAAGATATCTAGTATCATAATATCAAAAGGTTAATGACGATCATTTGTTGTGTTAAGTGCACCCCATAGATGCAAGCCGTGCTACTAGTGTCGCACACTATGTGATGACAAGGCGGGATTATGTTATGTACAAAGCTTAAAGTAAAACAAATGCTACTAGTGTTAAATATCGGTCACACTACATTTGTACAATGTATCCTCACTAATACTCCGTATTATGTAACAAAAAATGTTTTTAAAAAAAAAAAAAAAGGTTCATCTAATCAACAATAACTCTATTACAGTATAAAATAAAAAAGTGTGAAATTGAGCGATTAATAAAGTATTCTTATGCGGAATACATCGAGATCTATATTTAATACGAAAAGCTTATTATGGTCCCAAAAGCCCAACCCGTATAGAGCATATTAGCAAGTTTGGGTATGACTTTTTGGACTAAAACTGGATCAATATTTGATAAGTAAAACAAATACAGAGTACATTGTGAAATTTGAATTGACTTGGCTTAAAAATTATTCACCCCTCAACAATACATTGAAAACAGTTGAATTTGTTTTCACTATTTCCCTATTGGTGTAAGATATGGATAAAGGAAGACCTATCTGATTCATCCCTCTTTGTAACACCCAGGTTTCCTTACTATTTTAAGCTTTTAGCCTAGAATTTCTTGTCATCTCGTGTAAAAAGTTTTTCAGAAAAATCACTACACATTTTCAACTCAAATTGACTCTCATTTGCTCAATGTTTTTGTTTCACTCAAATCCACTTAATTTAATTCTCCTTTTCCAGTTTTTTTTTCTTTTTCTTTTCAAAAAATGATAAATTCACTGTACAATTGATAATAATGTTCTCCAATTCCAGATTACCAAAAATGGCTGATCGATCTTTTCAATTGCACCAGTACACCACTCAATCTTCTGCGAAAACTCGGTACGATTTTATGTTTTATTTACTTATTTCATTATTGATTGATTAAATTAATGATATTTTGTGAAATTGAAGATTAACTTTTATCAGAATGTAAAATTATACGGTTGTATTTTAGGGAAATCTGAAAGAAAGAGCATTGGAAGAAATGATTTTGGTGTCCTGTCATGTCTACTTGTCTTATCTTTACAACATTGATTTTCCCCATACCTTTTACGGAGTACCAATTTCGTGTCATTATTTTATTTTATTTTTTTTAAAATTTTTTTTTTTTTTGGTTCACTTAATTTGCCACACTAGATTTCTTCAATTACAGAGGTAAATTTGGTTAGAACTTGGAACCAAGTTATGGTGATCGGGAATTAGTCATAAATTGAGTCGGGCCGATTTTAAAATTAGATGTTTGATTATTTGTATTTTGAAAATATTAGACTAATTGGCCGATTTAAGGCCAATCTTTGCTAAACTACCAAGTTATAGGATATTAGGTCGATTGAGGCTTATTAGTACTCGGCCCAAACTCCTCATATTATGCTTGAAATCAATAGAGTGTACAAATTTATATTAATGATTTATACATTAAGACCGACTTAATTGATTGTTATCAAATTAAATTAAATGAAAAGAAAGATAAACAAATACACAATTTGAATATTTGGGACCATAAGTTTGATTAAATATTATGCTTAGTAAATACTAGATCAACTCGACCTCTTTAAAAATTATTGGGCCTTTCATTTATAGCTAGTTTAGCCTAAATGTTGTTTAGAACAGGCCAAATTTCGAAATTTTGTTATTGGAGTTTTTTTTTTTTTTTTTACTCCGTATTATTAAAATTTTGAAACTTCAAAAATATTTTCATTCCTTAATTGTCAAAACCTATGTTAAAAAAACTCTTAATTTTCAGTTGATTATTTAGGATGAGACAAAACATAAAAGAATATATGTATACATATCTACAATGCTTTTTTTAATAAACCAATTAATGTACTATCTTCGATTCTTAGGGTCTGTTCTCATACGTTTATTTTCAGTTCAGTTCAGTTTAGTTTAGCTCTTAATTTCTTTCTCTTATAAAATATTCATTTTAATTCAGTTTAGTTCAGCTGAGTTCAGTCAATGAGACACAGACCCTTATTATTTACAACTTTGAAATGTTGCATAAATTGTTAAGCAAAATTGTGTGTAAGTGTAAAATGAATACTGTAGAGAGAGATATATAGGTGTAATGTGTATTTGATGAGAAGTTACAAAGGATTTTTTTTTAATAAGTAATACTCGTATTTAATTAATTTTTTTCGATAAGTATTGCAAATAATATCAAATAGAGATATAAAAAAGTTTGATAGGTTTAGGTTTAGGTGTTAGTGATAGAAGTAACTTTTTACAAGTACTTAAACAAGAAATGATTTTAACTTTTGCAACACATAATAGAGGAGAGAGAAATGAAAGAGAGAGTGAGTGAGAGGGAAAAAGTAGGAAAAATAGTCAACCGACGCTTTTGTTAAATAATCTAAATTTTTGGAGGCAACTATTTGTAAGGCTTCGAACACTCCACATACACCCACTGTCCTTTTATCTTCTCCTTCTTCTTCCCTTCTCCTTTCTCCTCTCTTTTCTCTTCTTTTTTTCTCTCTCCTCTTTTTTTTCCTATCCCCACCTAAAAAAGTCCCTTTTTATTCATTTCTCTCCCTTTTTTTTTTCTTTTCCATTTCATATAAATTTATAGGTCTTTTTATCTCATCATTCCATTAAAAAATGAGAACTCCAACTTCTGATTTTCATTTTTCAAACCATCATGCACAAAATTGACACTCTTTCTCCTTTTTAGGGTTCTTCTTCTTTTCCTTTTTTTTTTGTTGGGTTTTTTTTTTTTTTTTTTAAATTATAAATAAGAGTTAGAGAGAGAGTTTGAGAAAGATAGGCTAAGCTAAAAACTGCCCTTCTTTCTCCTTCTTTCTCTCTCTTTTATTGAGAGGAATTGTAGACAATCTGGGTTCATTTTCTCTTACCCTATTGTCTTCTCTCTCCTCTCTTTCTCTCTATTTCATCATTTTTCTTCATAATTTATTTTATTAAACTACTTACACTCAAATTTATTCAACTATAAGAAGAAAAAAAAAGTGGGATATTTTCATTTTTGATGAATTTTGGAGGATTTCTTGATAGTAGCGGTGTTGGAGCTGACGGTGGTGGGAGCGGGAGCGGAGGTGGCAGTGCAAGGTTATCATCAGACATTCAATATCACAACAACAGCAACAACAACAACAACACTATGCCTCCGGGTGCCATTACTCATCAGCAACAGCAACAACACCAGCAACAACAACAACAACAACAACATTTAGTGGGTCCCAACTCCATTAACAAGTCCTTCTTCAACACCCCTGGCCTCTCCCTTGCTCTTGTACTTTCTCTCTCCTCTTATTTATTTATTTTATTATTACGATAAATAATTATAATATATGGAGTAATAAATGATTTTGTTTGTGTTGTTGGAATATTAGCAAACGGGGATGGAGGGGCATGGAGAGGTAACAGCAAGAGTAACAGGAGATCAAAATTATGATGGAAATGGTAACAATAATGGTGCTGGAGTTAGTAGTATTGGAGTAAGGCGAAGTCGAGAAGACGAACACGAGAGTAGATCTGGTAGTGATAATTTGGATGGTGCTTCTGGTGATGAACAAGATATTGCTGACCTTCCTCCCCGGAAGAAGCGTTACCACCGACACACCCCTCAGCAAATCCAAGAACTCGAAGCGTATGCTTTGCTTTGCCAACTTCTCCTTTCTCATTTACATCTTAGATAACGTTTCGTTGTTATGTATGTGTCGTAATTGTTTTGGTCGACAATAACAATATATATATTTTTTTTTAACGAATTTAGTGTGTTCAAGGAGTGCCCTCATCCTGATGAGAAGCAACGATTGGAGCTTAGCAAGAAGCTTTGCCTTGAGACTAGACAAGTCAAGTTTTGGTTCCAAAATCGCCGTACTCAAATGAAAGTATGTGCAATACTAATCATATACTCATTCGTATCCATTTTCGTGCAACCGTATTAGGATAACTAATGATATTTTTTTTTTAATTTGGTTTATTGTAGACTCAATTGGAGAGACATGAGAATTCAATCTTAAGACAAGAGAATGATAAGCTGAGAGCAGAAAACATGTCAATAAGAGAAGCGATGAGGAACCCAATGTGTACAAATTGTGGTGGTCCGGCAATGATAGGTGATATCTCAATGGAAGAACAGCATCTTCGGATTGAAAATGCTCGTCTTAAAGACGAGTTAGACCGAGTTTGTGCATTAGCAAGCAAGTTTCTAGGCCGACCGGTGTCATCTTTATCAACGTTATCAGCCCCGCCCATGCCCAACTCTTCCTTAGAGCTCGCGGTAGGGAACAATGGTTACGGTCACTTGACAACCGTGACCACCTCATCTTTGCCCTTAGGTGATTTCGGAAGTGGGATATCTAATGCTATGCCTGTTGTTTCACCTACAAAGTCGACCGCGAATGTAACGGGAATGGAGAGATCTTTTGAAAGATCCATGTATTTGGAGCTTGCTTTGGCTGCAATGGATGAACTGGTTAAGTTAGCTCAGACCGATGAGCCGCTTTGGTTAAGGAGTATGGATGCCGGAGGGCGGGAAGTATTGAATCATGAAGAGTATAATAGATCTATTACATCTTGTATTGGTTTAAAGCCTAATGGTTTTGTCCCTGAAGCTACTAGGGAGAATGGTATGGTCATCATTAACAGTTTAGCCCTCGTCGAAACCTTAATGGACGCGGTGAGCCCTTACTTAAATTACTCGCATTTGTAAGTTATAACATTTGTTTTGAGTACAGTGTGATCGTTAGTTGAGGACTAATAATAAGCTCGGATTTGTTGATAGAATCGATGGGCGGAGATGTTTCCTGGCATGATTGCTAGGGCGTCAACAACTGATGTTATATCTAGTGGAATGGGAGGAACTCGAAATGGTGCACTTCAAGTGGTAATTAGACTAATTACCATTGTTAATCTAACTGCTTAATGTAGTATATTAGTAGTAGAAATTGAGATTTTAATATATTTTATTTTGGTTAGATGCATGCTGAGCTTCAAGTGCTATCACCATTGGTGCCGGTTAGGGTGGTGAACTTCCTACGGTTCTGCAAGCAGCACGCCGAGGGGGTGTGGGCGGTTGTCGATGTGTCGATCGACTGCATCCGAGAAAGTTCCGGTTCACCGACATATGTTAACTGCAGGAGGCTTCCCTCAGGGTGTGTTGTACAAGATATGCCAAACGGGTATTCTAAGGTACCCACTATACTAATAGTAGTAGTAATGATATTATTACGCCTTAATTAATCACAATTTCACACAGCATCTAATTGTGTTCCTTAACATGATGATTGAAATACAAGTATAGAAGTTAATTACAATATTGATTGAGTTGATCCCAAGTTGGGTGTCCTTTCCACTTTAGCTTTTAATGATACTTAGTTGCAACTGCAATTTCGGATTTCATGCTGGTTGAACCATCTATTAATTGTTGAAAGCAACGTACACATGTAGTCATTATCGATTCATGATAGTTATATTTGCATTCCCGAGCTTAAGTTGGAGTTCATGCATCTATGGATCTTGTTTGTCGGGTGATTAATCGCTTAAACACCAGGGCCTTGATCACGGTTTTCGTTCCGAGGAATTAATTAATCAAGGTTCTTCTTATTTAAATAAGAGTTAGATGCTTCTTTTGTGCCATATATATTGCTATCATCAAGTTTCGACAACTCCTTGTTTAATGCTTAAACATGATTATTACTATTTTACACGAATTCGTACGTCAGCAGATCGAGGTTACAGGCATTGTTTAATGAATAGAAGCCTCTATTTATCCGTATTTTCTGAACCTTGAACACATTAATTTCTTTATATCCTATACATATTAATGCCTTGTAATCCACAAACATAGGGTCATTAAACTATACATTTGATGTTTCTATTCTGATTCCCTTGATTATTTTTATAATACAAGCTTTAATTTCTGTGTTGTTTTAGCTGCTTACTGAAGACTTTGTAGTCAAAACTACAAGACTGTCTACTTTGTTCTCATCTTACTATACTATTTATCTGCTGCTTAATGCTTAAATTATGTCCAAATCTCAATGACAACCTGTTCTTCGGCTCGAATCGCCTTGATTTTCTTTATTCTTGTATTATACAGAGACGAATCTTAAGCTATATCCAAGATTTTAGCATAATATATTGTCTTATCATATCTTTATTTTAATATCCAATTGCCCTTATATTGTTTTTTTGAATAATGTACTTTGTAGTTTGTAGTGATATTATTTTTTAAGTGTTTGATAAATTTGAATTATCAAATTCTTCTATTCCACTGCTTCTCCCTCACTTGCGCCGTCTCTAGTGTTTCTTCTGTCAGAAGTCTGACTGCATCGCATTGAACCATATTTTGTCCCTTTCAACTTCGTAATTTGACTCTAATTCTACGCTTAAGCTAATTAAATAAGTGATTAGCTTACTGCAAACTTGTCTCCGTAGGCACGATAATTAACTGGTGTTTAACAGTCTTTATTAGCTTGATATGCAAGATGGTTATGATTTTTCATTTATTAACTCGTCGATAAATGATGGTTTAATTTGTAACACAGGTTACATGGGTGGAGCATGCAGAATATGATGAGAGTAGCGTCCACCTGCTCTTCCGGTCATTAGTTAGCTCGGGTATGGGCTTTGGTGCTCAAAGATGGATCACCACCCTTCAACGACAATGCGAGTGCCTTGCTATTCTCATGTCCTCTAACATACCATCAGGAGAACACACTGGTATAGCACAAGAGTGCCATTATCTATTTGGTGTAATTATTATCATAATTATCATTTAATCTTATTTACAAAGTGTTGACCATTATTTATGAATAAAATGACAGCTATAACGGCGAGTGGGCGTAGGAGCATGTTGAAGTTAGCACAAAGGATGACCAACAATTTTTGCGCGGGTGTTTGTGCATCCACGGTGCACAAATGGAACAAGCTCAACATAGGCAACGTCGATGAGGACGTCCGGGTTATGACTCGAAAGAGCATCGATGACCCGGGTGAGCCCCCGGGTATAGTACTGAGTGCTGCAACTTCAGTATGGCTACCTGTTTCCCCTCAGAGACTGTTTGATTTCCTGCGTGATGAACGGTTGAGGAGCGAGTGGGACATTTTATCCAACGGTGGACCCATGCAAGAAATGGCCCACATTGCCAAAGGCCAAGATCAAGGCAACTGCGTCTCTCTACTCCGCGCTGGTGTATGTCCCCTCTCTTTCCCTTCGCCTCTAAATATTATTCTTACTTTGACGGTAATTATCTCATAAAAAAATTCTAGTTATGGAGTGGTGCTTTTTTTTTACTTTGGGTATGCATAGAAGTATAGTGTATGATCATAATGCTGCAAAATTTTGCATGGTACGTTGAGATCTGGAATTGTGCCTGTGTCTTGGAGTGAAAGGTCAAAAAAGGAGATTTGTCATTTGTATGGTAAAAAGGTGTATTTGGATCATAAAATTGGAAGCATATGATAAAGGACATGTTACTTTGAGACAGATATAGGGACCAGCTTTTTTAATCTATACATATACACTTCATTTTTTTTTATTTTATGAGAAAAGTCAAAATGTTTGGACTTTTTTTTTTCCTTGTTTTATTTCATGTTTTTATGTGGGACCACTTTATGACTATTGGCCATTCAATTTTGACTCTCTTTTCATGCAGTAGAGTAACTAGTACGGAGTAAATGTTGTTTTGATGAAATTCCTAACTTTAGTATAGTGGCATTGTTATGTAAATATGATAAAATTTGATTGAGGGTATTTTTGTCTTTTGTTGGTTTACAGGCAATGAATCCCAATCAGAGTAGCATGTTGATCTTACAAGAGACATGCACAGACTCATCAGGGTCGCTTGTAGTGTACGCGCCAGTCGATATCCCGGCAATGCATGTGGTGATGAATGGTGGGGACTCGGCCTACGTGGCGCTTTTGCCGTCGGGTTTCGCTATTGTCCCCGACGGCCCAGGATCACGTGGGCCCTCGAATGGGGGCCCACAAAGGGTAGGAGGGTCCCTCCTTACAGTTGCATTTCAAATCCTTGTGAATAGCCTTCCTACAGCCAAGCTCACGGTAGAATCTGTTGAGACAGTAAACAATCTCATATCATGTACGGTTCAGAAGATCAAGGCCGCTCTTAACTGCGAAAGCTAGGCTGATCCAACGGTGGTAAATCATTCAATCATGGAACTATGGCAGTGGTTATTTGAGTTGCTGTACAAATAAATTTTTTGGTGTTTTTTTTTTTTTTTTGTTGGAAATTACGCTTTTGTAAGGGGTGATCATAAGGGACGGTGAAAATATGAGGGTAAAAATGGAGAAAACTCAAAGAGGTGGGGTGTGAGTCAAGAACGAACCGCGCGTGTTGTGCAAAATCCTTGCTACGAAGGTGGTGGTGAGACGAACCAGCTTGGAGTAAGGGTGGTGGTTCGGGTATTGACTCAAGGTTTTTACCCATATGAGTTTTTGAACTTTTGTTTAGCTGAATTGTAATGGTGTAATTTTGTTATGTTGTCAATGATCAAAAAATGTTCATTGTTACTCTAAGTATGTCAAGGGGTATATTTTATTTTTTATTTTAGAAAATTAAATAGTAGTGAATTCACTAACTATTTTCTCTGATCTTTTTTGTTCTTTTTAATTGGAATCTTTTTACGGGATAAAAAGGTCAAAGTGGAAAGAACAAAAATGATCAGGGTGAATAGTTTGTGATGTGCACTTAACTATGGGATGTTTTGTGTGTATGTAATGCAATTTTACCCCGATTTAGCTTGTATTTTTGGTAAAGTAAATATATTATGGCAAATGATTTTGGGTTGTTTGCAAATTTTTGATGTAAATTGACTCAATTGTGACTTGCTAACCAAATTGGATGAATATTTGAATAATCGCAAATTATTATTATTAATTGAGCTCATGTTTGAGAAATTCAAGCTCACTAGATAGTGAAATTTATTTAAATGATCCTCGCATATGAAAGATTTACAAAATTTTTAAGTCAGGAGTTAACATTGATTTAATAAATGATAGAAGACGTCTAATTAGGAGAAAGATTTGTTCTCTTTGACAAACCTTTCAAAATCTATTACATGTCTCTCCCCTACCTCCATTGCCCTATACTTTTCAATTCATCAATGTGAATAAAAGTCTCTTGTTGAAAAACCCTAACCGTCCCATCAACCAGGGGTGAATGGGTGATCAATCGATCATGGTCGTTGTAGACCAACTTGTATGTAGTGGTTGAAACCGGATATCAAAATAGAAAAATTCGAAGCAAATAAGATCTACTTTATACAATTTTGTATATTCTATGTTACTCACTTACTCTTTGCATACGATTGGTACTACAAACGTGATTCACACATACACACAGATCTAAAATTCATTGACACGCTACCTAGGCCATTTGAACTCTACATCAAAAATTGTTAGTCCCACCATGACACAATTGAGAATTCACAAGTTGAATGGACAAAAATACAAAATGATTATTTAATCTCTGATTTAAGCATGAATGTAGCTTAGTACTCTTATATATAGAGTCATAGACCATAGTCCAATAGGGCATATAGGTAGTAAAATGAGACTAGTACTAGTATACCTAAAACTTGAAACTCTAGTGTGTTAATGATATATTCTTTCTTCATTCCCTTGTAAACTTGTTACTTGTAAGTGGGCACAAGCACAAGTAGCAAATTGCTAGGAATAAGAAACTACTAGTCGTAGTAACAAATAATCCCATAATATAATAATTTATTCATTACAACATTTTGGTAGGAAAATAATTGAAAGGGTAATACTCAAAAATGGGTGGAGTTGATAAAAAGGAAGGAAAAAAAGAGCATTAAATGAAGAGAGAAGATAAAATGGCAACAGATTTGTTAGGACAGCATTTATTGCAATGGCCCTTTATTTTATATTTATTTATTTATTTTAAAAAAAGTGTGGTACTACTAGCTAGTCTAGAATATAGTAGTGAGATGCACAGAAATAGCATGGGAAAAAAGAGACAAAGAGTGTCAGTTTATATGCCCTGTGATGCATTCTTTGGCCGCTCTTAAGGAATGACTGGTGCGCAGCTGCTTTACTTACACACCAACAGGAGTACGTACGTAGCTTTGTAGGAGAGAGAATTGTGAAGCAGTAGCCTACATGGTTAGCCTGCTGTTTCATTTGGGCTCTCCCTCTTATCTTGCAGCCAAACTAAGGTTGTGACTTGTGAACGATTTTGATGGCAGTGAGCCATGCCATGATACTATCAGACCCCTTTGTAATTGATCTTTAACTTGTTAACTAGAGTTGTTTGTTACTTTGATTATACCTCCATATAGACCCATGCATTTTACATGCTAAGGTGTTATGTATGTTATTGACATAGAGTTTAGTATATACATGTCTGTTAATGACTCTATTTTAACCTTTTATGTATTTATAATAAACTTATAATCTTAAAATAATAAGATATGATAAACGGGTCTGGCCCACACTTGACACATCTGTCCACTTTACACGACCAAGGAGGTTCCACCTCAAAACCATATGGCAATGAGGGGTAAGTAGCCCCTTAGCCTTATAAAGTGGACACAACTTTCTTATTTAATTTCTTCAATGTGGGATACACATCCCAATACAATTATACAAACTTTAACTTATAAACTAAACCAATGTGGGACAACACACAACTCACATATGGGTTTTCTAATGGGCTTTACACAATAAACTTTATTTTATTAATACCTAATTAGCAACATATTTCATGATTAAATTTGTTTATAACATGTTACTTAAAGAAAAGGTAAGGTGTTGGGACTTGTTCTCTTCAACTTAATTTCAGTCCAGTTTTTAATATCCTTCTCTTATCAACAATTTATTTCAGTTCTATTCAATTCAGTTCAACTCCAATCAATTCAATTCAGCTCAGAAGAGACCTGTGGTCCTAGCGTCCAGCCTTAATTTGTATTTCACAACTAATATCATTAAAATTCAGCCTTATATATAACATCATACTTGATCATACATTCATACTTAATTAGAATAGAAAGGAAAAAAAAAAAAAACCAATAAGATGCCAAATGTGATAAAATTAAAATTGAATTGGATTGGAGTTAGTCCGATAAATTTCAGCAACTCAAATTCATTTTACATCGTATACTCCATTTAGTATAAAAGTTGAAAATAATAAGCAAGATGGTTAAACAATCCTCTTGAAAAAAAAAGGCTTACTCCATTAAACGAGTTGCCTAGATAAGAACTTTTTCACATCATTTTCATACACTATTTTCAGATGGTTATTGTTAAACAAACCATAAAGTACCTAATACGGAGTATTTAATTTGCCGCCATATGCTTTAGTCACTATTTGAGAAATAGAATATTTGGGTTATTAACTTATTATTCATTGTATGAAGATGCTTTATAATTACAGTATAATGAAATTCAACATCAAGTCTACCCATGCCCTACCTTTATTCTTCGTACCACCTTTTATTTTATTTTTTACAAGATTCTTCGTACCACCTTAGAGAAATGACGTTCAAGAATTATGAGTATACATATGACAACTAAATTCGAATGGTTGGAGGTTATATTTTGAACATAGCACAAACATAGGAAGTGTATATTGGTACAATGTATTTAAATAATGTCCCAGTCTTAAATTCATTAAATTTTTGGTACGCCGTAATAATGGAGCATGATAAATTTGATAATCTTTGTGAAAGCGAGTACATTATAATTATGAAATATGGTGTATTTTGTTGTCTGTTAAGTGGTAGGCAATGACAATCAGTAGTCTCTTGAGATTATAGCTACTCAATAATTCCATCAAGTCTTTAAAGTTAGTTTTCAACTAAAAGGTGATGTATACATGAATTTTGGTATGCTAGAATTGTAACTGATATTTAGGGCTATCGAGATTAAAAGTTTGACAACCAAATTAAACAACTGCTATATATTACTCGGTACTTGTTCTTGTTAGCTGTATACACGCATAGCTTTTAGGTTGCATTTACCAATCTTATACATATATTACGGAGTATTTGGTAAGCAGAAGACCCATCATACAAGGAGAGAATTTCCTCATAGAATGATATTGTTGAAATTCGACCCTTAACTTGGTCATCATACATTTGAAAGTTGGAGAACTAGCTAATAATTGATTTGGCCTCCGATCCTATCTCAAGCATAACTTCTATTAATTACACCTTGTTTTACTTAAAAAAAAAAAAAAAAAAAAAAATACTATGCATAAGATAAAAAAAAAGTAATGATAATTTTGTATAAAAAGTACTAACCACTCTAATCAATTAAGTTCGTTAAAATTTAGTTATCAATAGCCTTCTACGCATAGGAGTACCACTTTACCGGACATGTGACCTTTTTTTTTTCTTGTATAGAGAGCCATAAAGAGCCGTGATGATAGTGTGAATTGTTTAGCATAGTCGTGATTTTGTGAATTTCTTAAACCGTTTAAGTAGCGGTGATGATTATGTAAATTCATTCTAAACCTTTAATTAGCATTGATTCAATCCAATAAATTAAAATCTTTAAATGACACGAGCTTTAATTTGAAGAATCTACAAAAACATAATTGTAAGCTTACTTGCTAGTTGCTACTTTATCTGTCCTTAAATATAACTTTCTTATCTCATTTGATTTTGGCCCACTACATACATGATTTGTAATTTTGGATAAAAATAAAAAAAATTGAATAAAGAAGCTAAGATCCAATATTTTTTTTCCAACCTAATAAATCATATGTCTGTAGTAAACTAGCAATGAACAAAACTCCACTACCACCATTTTATCTTAAAAGGTTTGAGCACAAGAGAAATAACTGTGGACAAAGGGATTAATAGTGCAAATACACACTCTCACCTAGAAGTGCTAATTAAGCTAATTCGAGACAAATTAAATTTGGGTTGATCAAGTTGAATTGGTCTTTTTACTTTAGCATTCTAACTAATTATCTTAATCTTAGGGCCTATTCCGATTTACTGAAAACAATTGAATTGAACTGAATAGAGTTGAAATAAATTATTTATGAGAGAAGGAAATTAGGAACTGAACAGCTGAACTTAACTGAGCTGAATAAAACTGAATTGAACTAAAATTAAGTTAAACATAACGGGCCCTTAAACTTAATTTTTTTTAAAAAATCAATTCTTGAAGTTCAACTTCTCATAAAACTCAACTCGAGTTAAAAAAATTAATTTAGGTTTTAACATGTTATAGTTATATTTGTTTTGATTTTATAAGTTTTTCATGATTTTTTCTTTCAACCGAATAATAATCTTAAAGTTACTTCGTATGTATTTTTGTAAGAAAAAACGAGCTTGTTCATGAGAGTTTAGTCGAGTGTTGTGTTTGTAGTGCTAATTGCCTTAGCTAGTTTGTCTTAAAAATTTCAAGATGAGCTAGAATAATTTACGAAGTAGCTAGCTAAGCTACTAGCTACCCCCCAACTAAGGGCATGTTCTCTTCCGTTGAAATTCAGTTCACTTCAGCTCTTAATTTATGTCTAATGATATTGCTAATGATATAAAGCCAAATTTCATTCTTTTAAACAACGACGACGACGACAACAACAACAACAACAATAATAATCAATAAGTAATAAATAATAATAATAATAATAAGTAATAAATAATAATAATAATAATCAATAAATAATAGTAATAATAATAATAACAATAATAATTGAAATAATAATACTAATAACAATAATCAATAAATAATAATAATAATCATCAATAAATAATAATAATAACAATAATAATAATAATAATAATAATAATAATAATAATCAATAAATAATAATAATAATTA